AAAGACTGATGACATGGACCTTCCTCCAGAGTAGACAGAGAAAGCATTCCCCTGGAGCTGAAGCCCTGAATTTGGACGTGTAGCCTACTGGACTGTGAGAGAATAAACTTCTCTTTGTTAAAGCCATCCACTTGTGGTATTTCTGTTATAGCAGCACTAGATGACTAAGACACCTACTGACTCCAATTCCCGAAAACATCACTGGTAGACCCCTGGAGCTAGACGACTATGCCTCTGGTGGGTGTGCCAAAGAAGTGACTTTGGCTGGCCCAGTCCTCCCACCCACAGCATCTGAGCCTGAGCTGCTCTTCGGAACTGCCTCACATTCTGTCCCCTTCCTCCAGGCCTTCATTTAGTCCCCAAGATGCAGCTGTCTCTTGCTGTTCCCCTCACGGCAGCTGGGCCAAAAGCAGCTGAACAGAGGAGGGTAAAGGGACATGGCCATTTCTGCTACTCAGGATGGCCTTTCTCTGGCTGAGCAGCTGTCAGGGTGGCTCCTGGGTGACAGATTTGCTTCTTCACCCAAGTATACACCCTGCCTTCTGAAGCTAATCTCCCTAATCTACCCAGAAAAACTGACTGTTTCAAATACTATCAAACTATTCTGGCAGAAGGATGTTATGTTGGAGATGGGTTCCAGGCAGGGAACCAAGTAGCTTCTGAAAATATGCCAGAAAGTCCAAAATGGATGTGGTAGATTCTTTTGTTCTAGGCGGAACAAAAAACCAAGGGAGTCTGGCCTCCATTCTGCCATCAAGCAGAGGAAGGCCTCCATTTTATAGACAGAGGGAACTAACTTGCCTTGGTCTCATAGTGAAGCCAGCACATATTTTCAGATGCTATCTGCTGAGGCAAACCTTTGTCTACACCGCAGCCTGGCTTAGGGTGACCAACTGTCCCGGTTGGCCCAGGACTGAGGAGGCTCCTGGAATACAGGACTTTCAGTGCTAAAACTGGGGAAGTCCTGGGCAAACCTGAATGAGTTGGTCACCGTAGTCTGTCTCAAAATAGCAAGTCTTGGCCAGGGGTCACCAGCCTCCTTTCTGAGATCTGCTTTTCCCATTCTGCATTGGACTTAGCTGCCCACAGTAGCTTGAAATGAACAAGGTACCATCTGACAGGGAAGATGCCTGCTTCCTAAGAAGCTGTGTGGTGAGGGTCAAGCTGTCATGAAGAGCCTCCTGAAGTGCCCTGCTCCATTCTTTCAACAACTCCTCTCAACTACAAGCCTCCATCCAAACAAGAGAAAATAGGGGAGTGGGAAAGACGGTTTTTATGATTCTTTTCAGACAACCCATATTCCAGGATTCTGTTAACATCCTCATGAATGCAGAGACTCCTTAGGTTGCTCCTAGTTCCTGGATTTGTCTTCTTAAAGGAAGTCCACCTTAGTAAAACTTTCCTGTGGCTCAGGAGCCAACAGGAGGCTGACCATCCCCTCCCCCAGGGGCCAAATGACGTATCACTCTAAATACTCTGATGTGTGCCTTAGGGATCACTGAGACAGCCTCCTCTGGGTCCTGGCCTGTTTTGCAGAGTTGGTTTCTTGCATAACTGATAAGACATAGCAGGGAGTAAACCACCTTGTCCCCTGACAGCCTGGAAGCCACATCCAAGGGCAAGTAGGTCAGGTGCCTTGAGGGCACAGGATCCTGGGGCCAGGGCAGCCCTGTCTGTCAGAGGTGCTGCGGCCCCTCCCATCAAGAGCTGCTTTATTCCCAGGAACTCCCCAGGGCTGTGTGAAAGGACAGCCCCTACTCGCCCGATAGGGCACCCTGGGGACCTTCCTGTTGAGCTTCTAATAGTTCTGGTACCAAAAAAAAAATCATCCGGAATGCTTCCCTCAGTCCAACACAACCTCCTCTGGGGAGACTCCAGCCCCTAATGACCCAATCCAAGGATGAGAAGCATCCGTCCACGCCACTCCTTTGACTAAAGGGCCTTGAAGGGCCGCTTGGAAGGAGACTGACACTTAGAGGCTGAATCAGGCACTGTCCCCAGCTGTGGATCTGGAGGCGCATGTGAAGCTCAACAACAAACATGCTGCCTTCCATAAACCAGGCGTGTGGTTGGGCCACCAGAGAATTACTGCTGGGAATGGAATCTGGAACAGACTCTATGGTCAACTATTCCCAGATCAGAGGAACTAGAGGCCTTGGACGTCAGCACCACAGAGTGTCCATCCTGGGCTGCCTATGGGTCATGCGGCCTGGGGAGAGGCTGGGAAAGGCCCAGCTATCTCATGTTTTGCAGGGAGAGTACCTGGCCCACCTCCATCCCAACAACTCCAGAGAACTAGCGAAGACCAGCTAGCCCAGCTGCCTGAGAGCCTTCTCTTCCCAGTTTCTAGGGGAGCAGCTCTGCTGCTAAACAGGGCTGGAGAGCTGTAATTATCGAGACAGGATAAGAGCTATTTTGGGAAGGAGCCGTCCTGCTGCCAAGGCTTTTGACTTCCTAAACTAAAACAAGATGCACAGAAAAAGGAGTTAAGGGTGGGGGAGAACGAGGAGGCTGCTCAGTCAAAAACATCACATCCTGCAAGAAGGGAAATATTAACCCCTTCCCTCATCCATCCCAAAGGTATGGATTTGCATCAAGAGGTGAGCAAGAAGCTACCAGTCAAGACACCCCCAACCCCCTCCTGCCTCCCTCTCTCCTAAGACCACCGACAGCACTTACTCAGTCTATTCCATTTGTTTTGACATTTTGAGCACAGACTTTTTCATACTGTTATTGAAATGCATCCTGTTCATGTCGTATCTCCCCAACCAGATGGGAAGTTTCTCAAAGCTAAAGAATGTGTGTGCTGTGAGGCTTCAATGCGTCCCCCAGTAGTGCCCAGCGGAGTGCTAGCATTGGAACAAAAATTGCTTATTGAAGAAAGGAAGGAAGTGGGGAGGAGGGAAGGACAAAAGAAGAAAGGGAGGGAGGAATTTACTGTCTTGCATGGAGATAATCTCTTAAAGTAGCTGCTCCCACCCACAGCTGAGCTCAGGGTGCAGGGTTGGCTAAGAAACCATGGCAGAGGGGGTGGCAGCCACATTTCTGGACACTGCCCCTTTAGCTGTTCCGTTATCTGAGCTCGGGCTGCCCACCCCCCATTTGTTTTCCATTTGTAGTTGACTGTGTATCCTGGGCTAGCCCATGGATGGGACCCATTAGAGATCATTTCAAGACTTTGGGCAAGAGAGAGCTATGACAAGAGAAAGAATGGAGGCAGGAAGAAGTCTGACTATCTTATCAAACATGGATGGAGAGGAATAAACGTACTTATGGGAACAATGCACTGTGAAATCAGGGCACTTTGCCAAATTCAGGACACAGGGCTGCCGGGAGCAGAGTCCTCCTTGTGCCTTTTTAAGCTGAGGAACCAGATAGCGTGTTACCCAGAAAAGCGACCCCTTTCTGGAGTGCCCTGGGCTGGAGGGGGTGAGCCAGGTGGGGACCGATCAACCAATGGCTGCCCAGACAGCCTCCCTACAGAGCACTTGGCAGGATTCATCATCTGCCCAGTGGGCTCTACTCTTTCTCTCCAGGGCTGAGACTAGCTCATGTAGCACCTTTGTTCAAATCCCCCTCTGTGGGTATGCAGCCGCACGGATGCATATCTGGGCAAGTGGAGCACGGGCTGGATTTCAGTCCCCACCTGCTCCCTCTGCCAGGTACCCTTCTGCAGTGAACAACCTGCCCAACCACAGGTATCAGCTGTCTGTCTCCCTCCACACCTGCTTCCATCTGAGGGCAGAAGAGGGACTTGGTTAAGCGAGGGCACAGGAAGACTGGCAGTAACCTCCCAGGGGCATTCTTACCTCCTCATCTGTCATAACGGAGAAGTAAAAGCCGAGCATTCCCAGGCGACAGCAAATGAAATTCAGAGAGTGCCAACAGAAGGGGAAAAAGGGAATTTTACTAAATATGCCCATGGAATTGGGCATACCCTGACCTAAATCCCTTCCTAGTGCAAGTGGCCCCAGTAACAACAGCTGACATTTACTGAGTGCTCACTGTTGCCAGGTACCAAGCTAAGTGCTTTACATATAATAGCTTGGTTAGTCCTCACAATAACCCTAAGAAGAAGCCATTATTACCATTAATAGATGGGGAAACTGAGTCTTGGAGCAGTAAAATAACTTACCCGAGGTCACACAGTCAGGAAATAGCAGACGCAGGGCTCAAACCCAGATAATGTAACACCAGAACCCATACTTTACTATTTTATAAAGCTTTGCTCCCTCTGAAAGGAAAAGCTGCCCTTCTCTGCTCTTGGCTGTATAGCACTCTGAGGGCTCATGCTGGTTGGTGCTGCACTGCATTTCCAAGGCTCTCTTCTCCCCAGGAACTTCGTCATCCACAGCCCTGGCCTCCCTCCTGCTTATAGGGCTGAAGCATATTTTCAGCCACAAAGCTCATAGCAAGAACTCCCGGTTGCCAAAATTCACTAAACGGTATGATGTTCCCTGCCCCCCTCCCACCAGAGTCCAAGATACAAAGGGAGGGGAGGTCACAGGGCCCTGGGGACACCCCTCTTAAAGATTCTAGAGCTGGCTGCAGGACTCACTGATGACCTCAAGGGGGAGGCCCAGACATCTCTGGAGATCCTGCCTGGGCAGCAGTCAATAAGTACCTCTGGGTCCTGGGGTAGGGGCTTGAGTAGGGCTCTAAGGAACCAGAGAGATACATGAGAAGAGCCCCCAGTGTGGACTAGTGTGAGGTCAGCCCTGAGCAAGGCTATGAAACAGATGGTTTGCTCTGGTGTCTTTTCTTCACATGACAGTTAAGATCAGCTAAACTGAAAGGCCATGGGCTTTAAATTGTTCTCCTTTCTAGAAGTGGTTTCCCATTGAAAGTAGACTCTTGAAAAAGGTTCCAAGTGCCAAAGGAACAACTCTAACGATGGAATTTTAGGTAAGATGAGAAATTCCTCTGCTCCTTCACGTCAAAACGCTAGCTGGTACTCTCCTAACAGACCTAAATCTGTAGATACATAGCCACCCTCCAACCCCTCTTCCCCACCCCAACCCCCCACAACAGGCCCTGAAAGGAGAGAAAATCACAGACCTTTTAGCCACCAGATGACACGATTGTACATTTCCTCAGAGACATCTGAAAGACAGATTGTTGCTTTTTTTCCCCTCTGTCAGATGTATACTCCCACCCCACACTACTTATATCTGCCTAGCTCCACGTTTCTCTACTCAAAAGTGACCTCAGCTCTTGATCCTCCAGGGAGCAACTCCTGCCTAGGACTAAATGTCACATTCCCACTCTGCCTCTCCTTTTCTCACACCTTCTCTATGTGCCACTGTTAATGTCTTTCCCCTCCTGGAAGTCCAAGTCCCAGCTCATCTCCACCCCACCTTCTCCACTTTGTTGCCAGGATATCTACCCGAGGACTCTATTCTCTTTAATAGCCCTTGCCAGCCCTCACCCCAGTTCAGCTCTTCATCTCCAGTCTCAGGAAACAGCTTTCAACCCTGCCAACCACTCTCTACTACCTTCCATTGAAAAGTTAAGCAGCGTTGCCTGGAAGAGTCAATGCTTGATGCCGGGCCCAAACATCATCATCGATGTCATTAGCTTGGGGCTCAGAGAAGCTGGCAGGGAAGGAATGGGGCAGTGGGCTCCAGCATGAGACTAGCTTTGACACTGCAGGAGGGTAATCTTGAGGCCCAGAATGAAGAGGAGGGCTTTTCTTTCCACCCCAACATCCCACCTCACTAAATTGGGGCTGCATCTGGGCAGTCTGCTTCTTCACATACCCAAGAAGAAAGCACTAAACCTTTGAATGGGTTGTTTGGAGGTGTGCTTGGGGGCCTGTGGCACTTCCCTCAGTGGTGCCTGGTTTGGAGACTCCTTTGCTGGTGGTGGTGGTGCGGGTGGTGGTGGTGGTGGTGATGGACTTGCCTTCTCTCTCTGGAACATCAGATCCTCACAGAAAGGATTTGAGTCCATTTCAAAAAAGGACAAAAAAGAGTCTACGGGAACAGGGGACTTAGGCTCAAAATCAGGTGTTGTTGGCCGGCTTTGGGGCAATTCAACTTCAGGATTGAGTAAGGCCCACCATGAGGAGTCAGGCCCGTACCTAGGTAAGGATCGAGGGGGTAAGGGCCGAGGGGTCAGTTCCAATTCCACGTGGACAGAGGGTTTTCGGGCAGGTCCTGCAGATGTGTGGACAGTTTCTGGGGGTCTTTGGATGTGCTGCTTATAGACAGTCTCTGGAGTCACAAAGATGGAAGATTTGTGGGAGCTCTCAGGCACTGCTCGAAATGTTGTGCGTTGAGTTGTCTGTACTGCCTGTCCCCCTGGGGAGATGGTGACCCTGCGGCCGGACTCGCCGTCTCCTCTGATTGAGGACTTCGTGTTGGACTCCACCTCCGATGACATTAAGACCTTTGTAGAAGTCTTAGGTTCCGCATAGACAGAATACTTGTGGGCCAGCTCAGGCTCTGTACGCACAGAAACTCGGTGACTGCCATCCAAATCTCTAAGGACAGAAACTTTGAGGGATGATTCCAAGTTTGCATTCCTATGCAAGGGCTTGGCTTCTGCATAAATTGAGCTGCGAGGACCCGCTTCAGACTCTTGGCCGGGGATCCTTCTCTGGGCTGTCCGAGGCTCTGCACAGGCCCGGCTGCTGCCGTGTTCTGGGCTAGAGGGTCTCCTTGGAGATCTGATATCAGCAGCAGTCAAAGTCCTCCGGATGGGGTCAGTTTGAACTGCTTCATCCTTCGGATAAACCGAAATCTTACGGGGAACTCTGACCCCTTGTGGGTTCTGGACCTTGGAGGGTGGTTCTTGCTCTTGTAAGACTTCTGAGTTATCCTTTTGGTCTAGAAAACTCAACCGGCGAGTGGCTCTGGCATCTGCAGATAATGAGGTGCGATAGCTGTTCTCACGCCCTGCAGGAGACATACTTTTTCGTGTCGCTTCCTCCCTAGGTAAACTAACATTCCACTGTGTGGGAACACTGTGGGAAGCTGCCGCTGCTGTCTGAGTTTGCTGGCTCTTTCGGTGAGGAGAGGTTTGGTGGTGTGCTTCTGATCTTGGTCGGGTCTCAGTGCCCCGAGGGGAGGAAAGGCTAGGCCCTGACTGGGGGGAGAGAGGTCGAGGATAGTCTGATGTGCTGGGCTGCACAGCTTCTGGCTTTCGATGGGAAGGAGCGCTCACAGACATGGCAGCACCTCGCTGGCTCGAGGCAACAACGTACCCATGTCCCCGGTGAGGGATTGTGTTACTAACCTCAGCCCCTCTATGTGGTGAAACTGCTACTTTGGACCCAACTTTATTTGTCTTGACCACCTGATAGACTGTGCCCCTCTGGGTAGATCCCATATTTCCTGGCTGACTTGTATTCAGGGTCCTAACGATGCCTGAATATTTACCCTCCGTTTTACGAGCTGCTGTTTTAAAAATGTCTCAGATAGTCCCCTTAACTACCTCTCTGTCTGGTGATGTCATAAAGGAAGGAGCTTCCTATTAAATATCCTGGCCTCCAGCCACAATTCTTCAGAGAATCTCAGGCAATGCCTGAAAGGAACTGTCTTTGAAAGGATTGTCTTCAGAGTTGACATCACCAAGACTTGGGCCAAGTTCTTAGCAAAACTGTGATTTCCTGGTGTATAGGGAGGGTTCCAGATCCTTCCTTACTCTTCTCAGATTCTAGGAATTCTCAGGGACTCATCCAGAGAAGGAATCGGCCAGAAGATCCTATTAAGGCAAGGCTACCCAAACCAATCACACTGTGTTAAGCCCTAGTTATAATAAGGTACAAGGTACCAAGTAGTCCCAGTTTTGTTTAGTATCATACTGTATGCAAGTCAAAACATAGACCTCTGGCCCTTTCCAGGGTTTGGTTGACCCTAGGGTAAAAATCTAGGTTGCTCAAATCAGGAATTCTCATACTTCTTGACCCAGGAGAGAGTATGATGTTGTAGAAGGGATATGGCATTAGACCTTTATGATTTCAATCATAAATGACTAGCTGTGTACCCTGGACCAGTTATCTGGCTTTTCTGAGTCTGGAAACCATTACCTAGTACATGGGTGTCACACAATAAATATTAGTATCCTTTTTCATGATCCTCTCAGGTAGCCAATCAGTTGGACTTTGGTTCTGTCCACTTTGAAGGGCGACTTTCCAACTTGTATGGCCATTTTGAGTAAAGAAAGATACCCTGTCACCTTTCTCTCCCTTTTACATGTTCTCTTTCTTTCAGACATAGTCCGTGCCATATCCAACATTACACTATTGACTCTGAAGGGTCATCGCAGTTATAGGATGGTCAGAGTCATTGTTTCTGTCTTAGTCATCTAGTGCTGCTATAATAAAAATACCACAAGTGGATGGCTTTAACAAAGAGAAGTTTATTCTCTCCCAGTCTAGTAGGTACAAGTCCAAATTCAGGGTGCCAGCTCCAGGCAAAGGTTTTTTCTCTCTGTTAGCTCTGAAGGAAGGTCCATTTATCAGTCTTCCCTTGGTCTGGGAACCTCAGGTCCAAAGGATGCACTCCGCTCCCAGCATTGCCTTCTTGGTGGTATGAGGTTCCCCTATGTCTCTGCTCACTTCTCTCTTTTATATCTCAAGAGATTGGATTAAAACACTATCTAATCTTGTAAACCTCATCAGTATAACCTCATCATAGGGATAGAGTTTACAACACATAAGGAAATCACATCAGATTTACAAAATGGTAGACAATCATACAATACTGGGAATCACGACCCAGCCAAGTTGACAGATATTTTGCGGGGACACAATTCAATCCAGGACAATCTCCAACTTCTTTAAATGCAGCCTTGATTAGAGATGTAAAGGTGAAACCAGAAACCACACATTTTTATTAACAGGTACCTCAAGAAATTGAGAAACTTTGAGCTACTGACACAAGTCTTTAGAATGTAAAAACACTCAGCTATTACATCTTGTTTTATAAAAAAGGATAAATATTGGAGGATATTTACAACTAAGATATCTTGAAGATATAAGATATAAGCCAGGTTGAAGTGAAGATGGTTTGTGTTGATTTATACTTATTTGATATCTTGTTACCATAAAATGAGACGGGTTGGCTTACATAAAGCTTTCTTATGAGATTCTACCTTAAATACGATAGTTTGTTGATATGTAACTCTTAGTCATAAGACTGTATGTAATGCTTATTTGTTTTTCTATATTTCTCATTGTAAGCTAAGAGACAGTTTGAATTTCCCTATCAACATGTAACATTAAGGCCACTGTGACTTTTCTAATCTTGATAAAATTAGCTCAGCTGTTTAAATAATTGTTTATATTCTCTTAATGTTGGGGAAAATATCTGTCTTTTATCAGTATTCAATTTCAGTACAATAAACATAAAGGGTGATTTTTAGCAGAAATGTTTCCAAATGCAACACAGAATCTGATATTTTCCTCATCATGAATAGTCTAACTCAAATTGGTCTGTCTGAGACACAGATGGGTTCTTTGAGGGTGGCCCCTAGTTCTCTTGCTCTCCCATCTAGCAGCATCTGATGAGGATAAAATGTGATGTCATACGTAAAAGCCACAGCACACTGTTTTAGTTTGAATGAAAGGCATGCAGTGAGGTGCAGGTGTGCCAGGGATGGCCACTTAGTTGGCTGCCAAGTGGTCTTAGGTATTTGATTTGGTCAGTCCACTAGGATGGAGTCTGTGGTAGCCGGGCTCCAAGAGGCTCCCCTTAATCCTTACCTCCTGATATTCATGTCTTTGTGCAGTTGCCTCCCATTCTGAATCAATAGATTCAGACCAATGGACCAATAGAATATAGCAGAATGATGGTGTGTGACTTCTGAGGCTAGATCATGATAGGTATTACAGCTTTTGCCTTGGTCTCTTGGCTTGCTTGCCCTGGGGAAAGCCAGCTGCCATATGATGAGGACACTCAAGCATCCCTGTGGAGAGACCCATGTGGAAAGGAACTGAGCTCGCTAGCTAACAGCCAAGAACAATTTGCCAGACGTGTGGGTGCGTCAACTTGGAAGTGCATCAAACTGCCACCTCATGAGACCCTGGGCCGCAACTGCCAAGCTGAGCTGCTCCCAAATTCCTGACACACAAAAACTTAGAGATAATAAATGATTATTGTTTTAAGTCACTAAGCTTTAGGGGTTTTCTGTTCACAGCAATAGATACTATAGGATCCATTTCTCAAATGTAGACTATTAGCTACGCACAGAGCCCAACACATAAACCAGAATAGCAATTTACTAATATACTTTGAGAAACACAATTGTCAAGCTGATTGGAAAGCCAGGCCATTCTCTCCTGAGGAACAGAAGTTGCTTGTTGAGCACAGAATTGGACCAAGGAGTTAGTAAGATGATCCACAAGAGGGCTGCACCTGCCACCGAGCACTGGGCATATCCCCACACACTGACCCACAATGCTTAGTGGAGCATCCCCAGTATCTGGCTCCTAAGGCTTCATTTTCCTATGCTCTGTACTGATCATTTCCTTCTATTATATAGTTTTTCTTCAAATGAATTATAATAAAATTGATTAAGTTTATAGTTACTTAATTATAATAACATTCTAGTCATGCCTTTCACTGAGTTGTTTTAAGCATTCCTAAACTCTTTCTGGAGTCCCTGGGTGGCACAAATGGCTAAGTGCTCAACTAGTAACCAAAAGGTTGGTGATTCAAACCCACCCAGAAGCACCTCAGAAGTTAAGTGCTGGTGATCTGCTTCCAAAAGGTTGCAGCCTTGGAAACCCTATGGAGTGGTTCTACCCCGCACACAGGAGGTAACCATGAGTCGGAACTGACTCAACAGCAACTAATAACAACAACAAACCCCTTCTACTCCCCAAATGAAAACACCTTTACCAAAAATTATAAAAAACTGAAATCACCTGAAATTCCATCACCTTGAACGGATGACTATTTCAATAAGCATCTTTCCAGATTTCTTTCTGTATGTATGTACTGCATGTAGATATTTATCAATTTACATAGCTGAGGTCCTACTACAAGGCACTGGTGGTTCAACAGTAGAATTCTCACCTTCCATTAAGAGAGACTTGAGTTTGATTCCTGGCCAGTGTACCTCATGAGCAGCCACCACTCATCTGTCAGTGGAGGCTTATGTGTTGCTCATGATGCTGAACAGGTTTCAGTGGAGCTTCTAGACCAAGATGGATTAGGAAGAAAGGACTGGTGATCTATGTCCAAAAATCAGCCAATGAAAATCTATTGATCACAATGGTCTGATCCACAACTGATACCAGGAATGGTGCAGGATTGGGCAGTAATTTGTTCCATTTTGCATGGGGTTGCCATGAGTTGGGGGCCAACTCAATGGCAGCTAAAACAACAACACTATACCTACCAGAACTTCTTATTCCACAATATGTTAATGGACACCTTTATGTGTCAATAAATCTTTGTCTATGATATCATTTCTAATTAGTCCACTTATGGTTGTTTCATTATTTTTATTTTATTGTGCTTTAGGTCAAAGTTTATAGCTCAAGTTCATTTCTCATTCAAAAATTTATACACATATTGTTTTGTGATATTAGCTGCAATCCCCACAATGTGACAGCATGCTCCCCCTTTCCACCCTGGGTTCCCTGTGTCCATTTGTCCAGTTCCTGTCCCTTCCTGCCTTCTTGTCTTGCTTTAGGACAGGAGTTTCCCATTTGGTCCTGTATATTTGATTAAACTAAGAAGCACGTTCCTCACGTATGTTATTTTTCTGTTTTATAGGCCTGTCTAATCTTTGTCTGAAGTGGACTTCGGGTGTTTTCATAATTTTTTAACCAGTCCTTTATTGCTGGACATTTAGGTTGTTCCAGTTTCTCAATATTATAATCAATGTTGCAACAAACATCCTTTTCTGTAACCACCACTTTGTGCACAGTTCAATTTTCTCCTTAGGACCAAAACCAAGAAACCAAACCCGTTGCAGTCGAGTCAGTTCCGACTCATAGTGACCCTATAGAACAGAGTAGAGCTGCCCCCACAGAGTTTCCAAGGATCACCTGGTGGATTCAAACCGCTGACTTTTTGGTTAGCAGCCGTAGCTCTTAACCACTACGCCACCAGGATTTCCCTCCTTAGGACAGTGGTTCTCAATCCTGGCTGCACATTAGAATCACCTGGAGAGCTTTTAAACACACGACACCTATGCTCCACCCCAGATTAAATAAATCAGATAATCTGATGGTGCCTGAATTTTTTTAACTCCTCAGATGGTTCTAATATGCAGTCAGAACTGAGAACCACTGTCTTAGAATAAAGTCCTCTAAATCCTTGCTTCTCAAAGTGTGATACCTAGACCAGCAGCACCAGAACACATATAAGGATGGGGTTCACACGTGAGCTTGTTAAGTACCTAGCACATAACAGGTGCTCCATAAATAATACCTACTACAATTGTTATTATTGTTCACACTGGTCACGGTCACTGGCCAGATAGAAGAGTCTACTCTGCTGGCCCTGTAGACAGAACATTATAATCCACATTGGTGGGAGTTTGTGTAGGACCTGTAGCCTTTAGGAATACTGAAAGGTAATGCTATAACAACATAACTCAGCATTTATCGTGATATGCCTGCATCAATCATTATATTTTTATGTATGTTGGTTCTGTCTCAACAATTAGAAAGTTAAGTTTTTGAGAGGAAGGATTATGTATTAAAAATCTTTGAACCCCTCAAAGTTTCTTGCACATGATATTACAGTAAAACCTGTTAAGAGTTGGAACTCAACAGGACTGCCTTGTTTTTCTGTGTCTTGCAAGTTTTCTGCCTCTGACAGGGTGCAGTCTTACCACTTTCCTATCCCTCCTTTTAGAGGAAAATATTTCAGTTTTTCTTCTCTGACAGGTTTCCCCCTTATACAGGTTCTGGCTTTCACAGGTTTTATTATATCTGTAAACTAATTTATGTTTTCTGGTGGTCTTCCTCTGGTTACAATGGCAAGAAACTGTTTCCTTGTTTTAAAATGCTCAGATAAATTTGTACCTTCCCATTTTACAAATTTTGGGAGCTAAGAACTGTACAAATACAACCATCCACAACAGGAATGATTCAGTTTACACAAATAAAAGACCTATAGTACTTACTCACCAAGACTGAATAAAACATTAGGTGGCTAGTACTGAGCGATAGCATACAGCTTCTAAGAAAAGGTTTTTATTCACAGGTAGAGACTCCAAATTGGAGGTAGATGAAGGTATATAATCCTCTAGAAACCAGCCTTGATACACATATGCATCTGGCCAGTAGTCCTGAGAGGTTAAATTAGAGAAAATGTTGTGCTCTTGGTCTTACCACAATTTTATTCTTCTAAGACACTAATGATGTGAGGTGTACAATCCAAAATATACAGAGATGATGTCTGTTCTCCTTAAAGAGTTCAAAGTATCTTGGGATTTTATTCCTAGCTGTACTTTTATTGTGTAAACCAATTCTAGCTGGAATGGGAATATGGTAACCCCAGCCAATAAGCGGGGCAGTATTTATGTTACAAAACGCGGGCAACTGGTGCCAGTTTGCATGATGGGTGGCAGCAGTGGTTGCCTGTTTGTTAAACTTTATAACAGAAATTGAAGCCTTTTAGGGTGACGGTTCTCCTTCCCCTTACTCCCAATAACTCAAACACAGAAAAAGCATCTTACATAGCTGAAACCTAACTGCTATTAAAAGTAAACATTTTATTATATAATAGAAGTTAAAGTTTTCTAATGTCTGTATCAACAAAACCAAAAGCCATTCGGGAAACAACAAGAAAAATTTTTACAGTCAAAACTACCTCTCACTTTTCAGAAGTATGACAAGACAAGTGGTTAAATGCCCTGCCAGCAGACAGGGCCAAATCCTTCAGTCTATGTGGTAGCTGAACAAAGTGTGAGTTGCCAAACTGCTGTCCTGAAGCGGACTGTAGCACATGAGAGAACAAGGGAGCTCACAACCTGACACTCAAACTCAGGCCAGAAGTGTGTCCATGGTCCGGTTCTGGTCAGTCTGACAAGTCGCTCTGATCCAGCACAATTATCCTGTATGCGTGTTTTTGAAAGAACAAAAAAGGGAGTTTTGAGTTGGTGTGTATGTTTTTTAATGACACAATACCCTCTCTTTCTATTCAATCCAATTCAAAGAAAAGGGATTCTGGTTTTTATAATCAGGGGAGATTATGATCAACTAGTATATCATGGAAATGCAGAACGACTGCAAAGCAATTGATAGGAGGATTTTCCATACTCTCTCTACTAAACTGGTTCCTCTACTAACTCTACCACTTATTTAATCACATATTTTATATTTTAATTAACTATAAAGATTTTACAATTGAGCAACCTTGTCTGAATTAAAATTTTTGTCATTAATATTTATTTAGGTGCTGGAAAATGTTTAAGGTCTGCTCATGTTGTCTATAAACAGTGAACTTTGACCTATAAACATCTGGTATCTCATTACCTGGATGGTTCAGACCAACCCAGTCGCTTCCAAAAACAGGGTTTCAGTTCATCTTGATGCAATATAGGAGAAAGAAAAAATCTCATTACTTTCGAGGTCAAAGAATGCCAGTATTCAGAAGTCACATCAGTTTAGGGTATACTGTTTTACCCTCAACTGTTCTTTCTTTATCATTCAGAGGTACAATCTTTCTAAAAACACAGTTGATGGGTTTGCCCTCCTAACATTCTACAGTTTCCTGCCATAGCAATGGACACTAATGACACGAATTCACAAAGTCCCTGCATTATCTTCTCAGTGAATTCAAGACTAGCTAAAATGTTCATACACTCTGGGTCCTGTGCCAGTTAGGGTCTGGGAGGAGACAGAACGTCTCACCAGGTGGTTCACATAAAGACCCCTTAACAAGGTGACTACTTACAGAGGTGTAGTTAGGGTTAAAGGAGCAAACAGGGATGGCAAGGCACCCAGTGACTAGCAGCAGTGGGAAGCCAGTAACACTTCGATGTCTGAAGGGACAAGGGGAGGGAACAATTTACTGGGATCAGTGACAGCTGAACTGGGGACAATGGACAGAAGCTGTGCTTTGGAGGGACACTGCTTCTATCAGAGACAAGCTGCTGAAGGAGGGACAAAGGGGAAGGAATACTCCAGCCTCTCTCCTGTTCTCTGATCCTATCAGCCAACAGGAAGCCAGCTGGCCAAGAAGCCCAGGAGATGCAGTCCACGAGGGTCAGCCTCCTGGGGCACAAAGCAGGGCAGAAAAAGGGAGGAGAATGAGAATGGACTAGGGAAGGGATGTAAAGGGATAGACACCATATTACCTGAAAGAGTTAATGTCTCTCACTTACTGAGTAAGAGGTACGTAAATATAGTAGGGAATGGCACACCAAAAGCCTTAAAGCTCTAGCAAAATACTTTTGAAATTAAGGTTAATTTAAAACTTTCACATTACTTGTAGACCCCATTGAAATTCCGTAATATATGATTTCTTCTTGGGTTCTGCAGCCTCGGGGTGAGCTAAATTTAGAACTTTTTTGAAGGCTCCAGACAATTAGAATCAAAACATCTTTCCAGACAATGTGCAAGATAATGATAATGAGATGGGCTGAAGGCTTGCTTTAGAAATAGAATTGGATGTTATTACTACTGTTCTGTGCTGCGGATATGACTGGCAATTAACAGAAAATCTGAACTACAGGAAGAAGAAATTATCAAAGGTAGCTGGGATGTGTATAGCATCTGGGAGACTTATCTAAGTAACCCTGATGCTCACCGAAGTCCAAGTACTATATGCTAAGTTATAAACAACTGTTCATTCATACCTTCTTCAGAAGTCCCGAAAAAGCTCTCTGATTTCCTTCTCTCTAGCTTGATGCTTTCTTCCCCTTTTCTCTTCTTTTCACCAACTTCTTGGTCCTTGGTATCTGTCTCCCTTCAATGACAGTAATTTTGGGCATCAAGCCATGTGTCTAATGGCCAGGGAAACAGGACTGCCTCCCCAAGGCAACACAGTATTAGCTAGCACTAATGGAGTGTTCTCAATGGGCCAGGCATTGGTTCAGGTGCTTCGATGTATATTAACACATTTAATTCTCATGACAACCAGATGAGGTAGTTACCACTACCATTCCTGTGAAATGATGAAGAAACTGAGACACAGAGAAGTTAAATTACACACCAAGTAAGTCTTAGGGACTGGGATCTGAACCCAGGAAGTCTGCTTTCAACCACTAGGCTATATTGCCTCAAAGAAAAAAAAGCATTTTAGTTATGTTGTAATTGGCATCCTTTTTTACAGCCACCATTTATCTTATGGCTTTATTTCCCGAAACTCTCTCTGAGTGAAGTATCTGAAAATTTAAGTATCTAACAATCTAAGATGACACTTATCAAACTACTGAGCAAAAAAACTGTCTCCCCCATTCAACTGTAAGCTCCTTAAGGGCAGAGACGTCTTATTCCTCTTGGCACCTCCAGCCCCCAGCTCAGTGCTTGGCTCATTGCCAGCACTCAACAGGTGCTGACTGAACCAAACCAATTCTGTTCAAGGCTCTCTCTTCTGTTTTCATGTGGTGGATACTCAAAACAAATTATTAAAATGAGAGAAAATAAATCCAGCTAGGGTGGAAAAGAATTTTCTCTCCTCATGACCTCCCATCATTAACAGAATCATAACTCTAGAGACAGAAGGGGCATTTGGGTTACCTTCTCCTATCTCCGCCCCAGTGCTGGAGGCCAGAGAGTCATCTGGCCCCTGCCTGAGCAGGAGCAAGTGTTATTAAAGTGTAAAGGCAGCTGGCTCCACTGTCAGATAGCAAGGGCTATTAGAAAGTTTATGCACATACTGAATAAAAATCTGTTACTCTGCAGCTTTTTATCACTAGCTCTGTCCTTTGGAGCAGAAGAGAGTAAGCTGACTCTCTCCCCTTTACAATATTTCAGGTATTTAAAGGCAGCTATCAAATTCTCCACTCCATCTGTTCTGCTGACTGAGCCTCTGGCTCCTTCAGCTGTTCTCACAGGACATGGCTCCCGACTTCCGACCACAGCCACTCTATTCTGTTTGTTGGTGTCCCCTTTTAAAACGTGACACCCAGAGTGAAGCCTCACACTGTGTCCTAGAAGTCCTCTAAACATTTAGCATGAGACGACTACCTTGACCTGGCCAGTATGTCTCTGTTTACTCAGCATTAGTGCTGCACTGATGTTTTTAGCAACTGCATCAAACTGAGGGCTCACAGAGTCGCTGTCCACGCGTCCCCCGAGAAGCATTTCTTGAATTCCTACCATGTCTCAAGATGCATGTTAAGTACTGGGCATATAAAAATAAGACACACTTCCTGCCCTTGATGAAGTTACAGTGAGCAAGAACTTCTGATAAAAAATTTCCTAATAAGGTCACGTCTCCCGTAGTCTATACTTTTTTGATCCAAACGCTCACTTTCATCTTTTAGAGAAATCTAACATTTCCACCTGTCAAGACCATTTTGAATCCTGAGTCTATCATCCATCATACTAGCATTCATTGCTAGATTTGTGTTATTTAAAAATTTGATGAGCCTGCCTTTTCTGATTTACTTCAAATGACTGAGGAAAGTGTTGAAGGTGGCAGGGCCAAGGTACAGCAACCTTAGAGGCCTCTCTCTACACTGATATCAATCTGCTAATCAACATCTTGAGCGCTGTGGGTGGTTGGAGGGAGAGGGACAAGCATGAGGGTGCAGACAGTGGGAGTCAGGGCCAATGTGAGGCCATCACCAGACTCTCATTCTCTAAGAAGTCTGGATATTACAAAAACAAACACAAAAACAACGCAGCCCTCCTTCCTGAAAAAGAAGAAAAGGATCCCCTACTGGGAACAATAACCTTGCAGAGCCCTCTGGGAGGTCCACGAGTCCCTTGCTCTCCTCAGGTGGCTGCAGCCATCTTTCCAGGTCCTCATCAAGAGTAGAGTGAGCTCTGTCCAAGGGAAAGTGAAGAGAATTGAGACAAAAGTCATATCCGCTCTCCCTTGACAAGGAAGCATAACTGAAGGTGTTTTGAGGAGATGGAAGGAATGGAGTTATATCACATATCATAAACGAAAGTTTCCTAAAGCTTCCCCTTAAAAAATATTTATCTTTGGGGGACCTCACACCATCAAGAAAGCAGTGCCAGGAGCAGAGCGCACCCTTTGGACCGGGGTCCCTGCACAGAGAAGCTCCTAGTTCGGGGGAACACTGATGAGAAGGCTCAGAGAGAGAAAGCCTTCCCCTGGAACTGATGCCCTGAATTTGGACTTTTAGCCTACTTTAACTGTGAGGAAGTAAACTTCTCTTCGTTAAAACCATCCACTTGTGGTATTTCTGTTATAGCAGCACTAGATGACTAAGACAGAATTTGGTACCGAGAGAGTGGGATACTGCATTAACAGACACCTAAAATGTGGAAGCGCTTTTGAAAGTGTGAATGGATAGACCTGTGGCAGTGACAGAGGACCAGCAGTAGCAGAGAACCTACAGCAGCAGAGAAGTAGCAGCGGCAGAGAACTAAAAGCAGCAGAACCAGGAGACCTGTGCGAGATGGCGCTGGAGCCAACCCATGGAGCGAGAGAGCTGAGCGCCTGTGTGCAGGAGGCTTCCTGGTGGAGTGGGGTGCCTCTGGGTACTGATGGGTGGAGCTAGGCTTGCCGACCCACAGATCAAGGGAGCTCAGTGCCTGTGTGCAGGAGGCTTCCTGGCGGTGTGGGGTGCCTCCAGGCACTTACCAGTGGAGCTACAGAGCTTTGGAACACTTGCCCCAGCAGGGCAGATGCCGGTATGAGGCCCTGAGGGCCAAGAGGCCACAGGAAACAGAAGCAGAAGCTGAAGAGACAAGGGATACAAGAAGCCGGGCTGCCTCAGTCTCAAAAGGTACGGCCATGACCTTGGGTTTCAAAGGGTGGAGCCATGGCCTCTGGTGCTTCTAACGGTGGAGATGCCACTCAGATGGACTGGGAGAATGGTGCACCTAAAGCCGAGGGAGCAGAGTTGCTGTCCAAGTGGGCCTGGAAGGCGGAGCTGAAGCCCAGGGCCGAGGGGCCTCCACTCAAAATCCAGAGACTGTGGCCAATACCTAGAGTCTGGAGGGCAGGGCCATTGTGTAAATTGTCTTGGAGAACAGAAGGTTATTTTCAAAGCCTTGAGGGCTAATGTAATGTGTTCTGCTGATTTGCTTTTGTGCTTGTTATCGCTTCTTTCCCTCCAGTTTCTCCCATTTGTAATGGAAATGTCTAGCTTGTGCCTGTTCTGCCATTGTACCTTTGGAAGCAGACAGCTTGTATTCTAGATTTCACAGATGAAGAGGAATTTTTGGATTTTGGACTTGGAGTTAAGGCTTTTGCTATGATATGATGCAGTGAATATGTTTTCCATGTTGCAAGGATGTGATTTTTTAGGGGGCTAAAAGGTGGAATGTCATGGTTTGAATTATGTCCCCCCAAAAAACGTGTGTATCAGTTTGGCTGGGCCATGATTCCCAGAACTGTGTGGTTGGCCTCCATTTTGTGATTGTAATTTTATGTTCAAGAGGATTAGGGTGGGATTGTAACACCACCTTTACCCAGGTCACATCCCTGATCCAATGTAAAGGAAGTTTCCCTGGGGTGTGGCCCGCACCACCTTTTATCTCTCAAGAGATAAAAGGAAAGGAAAGCAAGCAGAGAATTGGGGACCTCACACCATCAAGAAAGCAGTGCCGGGAGCAGAGCGCGCTCTTTGGACTGGGGTCCCTGCACAGAGAAGCTCCTAGTTCAAGGGAACACTGATGAGAAGGGTCAGAGAGAGAATGCCTTCCCCTGGAGCTGACACCCTGAGTTTGGACTTTTAGCCTACTTTAACTGTGAGGAAATAAACTTCTCTTCGTTAAAACCAAAAAAAAAAAAAAAATTTATCTTCTCCTTCCCTCTGCCTCTTTGTCTTCTCTGTCTCCCCAAAAAACCCTCTCCCCACTTTCCTCTCAGGTCATAGGCTCATCTCCTCTACTTCCCAGACCTTCCTTTGCATGCCTCTCCCTCTCTTCTCCTTCCTTACGTAGAATAATTTAGCCCTTAAGGAGTATGACAGGCACTGGACCAACTACCCAAAAGTTAGTCATAACACTCTTCTCTGCTGCCTTCCTCTCTGATAGCAGCTGAAAAGCTAAAAACTCAACTCTAGATAAAAAGGAACAGTCGGCTAGCATATTTCTTTCCCCCACCCCCTTATCTCTGCCTGGTGTGTGGACAGCAGCCATCCTGCAGCCAGGAGGTGACAACCCTGAGGACAAAGGCCAACATGCCACAGGTAGCAGAGCAGGGTGATCAAAAGAGCCTAATTCCACGGTGGCATCATTGAGCTGCCACACCAGCCATGCCCTGCCCACCCTTGGGCCTCTTGTTACGTGAGACAAACTCACTAAAGCCCAATGGTGAGGTTTCTGTCACCTGCAGCTGAAAGCATTGTGCATGGCTCTCTCCAAGGATCCACAGGGCGGGATTAGGGTGAGAGGAGTGATATAAGAGCAGGGTCAGATCCTGTCTTGCTTTAAATGTTGGATATTTTATTCATCATTATTTTTTTTTTGCATTCATTTTGATTTTTTAAAATAGTGCATTAAAATATTACTTATCTTCTCACTCCTGCAAAAATGGCACTGATCAAAAAACAGAAATCAACAAATGCTGGCGAGGTTGCAGGGAGATTAGAATCCTACTCCACTGCTGGTGGGATTGTAAATTGGTTCAACCACTATGGAAAATGGTATGGTACTTCCTCTAAAAGCTAGAAACGCAAATACCCTATGACCAGGCAATTCCACTCCTAGGTATATATCCTAGAGAACTAAAACCACTGACCTGAACAGATACATGTACACCCTATGTTCACTGCAGCATTATTCACAATAGCAAAAAAGATGGAAACAACCTAACTGCCCATCAGTGGATGAATGAATAAACAAAATGTGGGGCATACACACAATGGAACACTATGGAGCCTTAAATTACAATGCTGAGTTCTCAAAATATTCTATAACATGATGAATCTGGAAGACATTATACTGAGTGAAATAAGTCAATCACAACAGGACAAATATTGTATGATCTCACTATTATAAAAAGATAAGAATAGGTATACATACAGAAAGCAACATTCTTTTGTGGTTACCAGGATGGGAGGAAGAGGGAGGGGGAATCACTTTCTAGATAGTAGACACTTGTTAGTTTTGGTGATGGGTAAGGCAATACCAAATAAGGGTGAAGTCAGCACAACTTGACCAAGGTAAAAGATGATGCTAAGAAGTACACAAGAATAAGGGATGAACCAACAACCGTTCTGACAGGGATCACAACAGAGTCCTGGACAGAACAGGAGAAAAATGTAGAACAGAATTCAAATTCAAGAAAAAATACCAGACTTACTGGTCTGACAGAGACTGGAAGAACCCCCGAGACTATAGACCCCAGACACTCTGTTAACCCAGAACTGAAACCATTCCCAAAGTCCACTTTTCAAAGATTAACAGGCCTATAAAACAAAAAATAATACACGTGAGGAACGTGCTTCTTAGTTCAATCAAATATACGAGACCAAATGGGCAACTCCTGTCTAAAAGCAAGACAAGAAGGCAGGGAGGGACAGGAACTGGATGAATGGACACAGGGAACCCGGAGTAGAAAAGGGGAGCACGCTGTCACATCGTAGGGATTGCAGTCAATGTCACAAAACAATATGTGTATAAACTTCTGAATGAGAAATTAATTTGAGCTGTCAACTTTCACCTAAAGCACAATAAAATTTTTAAAAAAAGAATCAGGGATGATTTTGGTAAAAGCCACAACATATACAATTTTGCAACAATGGTAATAACTACCAAATAATATGTGTGTGGTTACTTAGGTAGGTATGTATGCTTACACATGTATAAATCAAAAAAACCAAGCCCACTGTCATTGAGTCGATTCCAACTCAGAGCGACAGGTAAGCACATATGAATATATGGGTTCGCACGTATAGATTTTTCTGTAGACAAATGTATATACATGTTTGTGTGTGCTGTATATATATTCATATATAAAATAAAGTACATAGGGGGCACAGTTATGGATACTTCCTAGACATAATCAAACACCTCTCGCAGGACTGGGTTACTGGGTTTGAGGGCTTAGGACCATAGTCTCGGGGGCAACTCAGTGAATTGGCATAACATAGCTCATAAAGATAATGTTCTACATCCTAGTTTGGTGAGTAGCATCTGGGGTCTTAAAAACTTGCAAGTGACCATCTAAGATACAACTATTGGTCTCTACGTGTCTGGAGCAAAAGAGAAAGAAGGAAACCAAAGACTCAAAAATGAAACTAATTTATAGAACTAACTGTCTACACAAATCACCACCTCATCTACCTTGAGACCAGAAGAACTAGATGGTGCCCAGCTACCACTACTGACCGTTCTGACCAAGGACACAATAGATGGTCCCAGATAGAATGGGAAAGAAATATAGAACAAAACTCAAATTCCTTAAAAACGGCAGACTTACTGGACTGGTAGAGACTAGAGGAACCCCCGAAACTATTGTCCTGGGATACCCTTTAAACTTGGAACTCAAATCACTCCCAGAGGTCACCTATCAGTCAAAGACAGAGTGGTTCATAAAATAAATAATATCAGCCCTGAGTACTGTGTTCCTCTAAACAATCATCTAAACGAGCCCTAGAGGTCAACATTTATCATAGACAAAAGATGAGAAGGTAAAGGGGGACACGAAAGCTAGATCAATAGAAACAGAATCACCACACTGGAAATAATGAGAATGCTGACACATAGTGAAAAGTGTAACCAATATTACTGAATAATATGTATAGAAACTATTAAATGAGAACCTAATTTGCTATGTAAATTTTCTCCAAAATCACAATAAAATATATATTTTTAAATATTATTTACATTTAGTTCTTGGCACATCCTTAAATTCTGTGCCCAAGGAGACTATCTCCCTCAGCTCATCCTAGTCCTGACCCTGAATAGCAGTCTGGGACAAGGCAGAAGTCAAGAGGCAAAGGAGGTGAGGTGAAGTGGTTTATCTTACAACACAGGCAAAAGGAGAGCTCCAAATCAGGGATGGCACTGGGTTTCTTGAGGCAACCATGTGTTTTAAGACTGAACTGTCTAGATGATTGCTCCCATTTTCTCTTATTTGGCTAGAAAGATCTAAAAATTCTCCTCCAAGTCCTCTAACTAAAATGTTTTGAAAGAGGTTGAAACCTGTGTTCACCTCACAAGATGAAATAAAAACAAAAGAAAACCTTTTAGGAGTAAGAGATATTAGACTAGTAAGGAAAATAGCTGTTTTTTCCTCTTCTTATTTACCAATCTTAGAAAAAAAAACTAATACAAACTAATAAAAATTTTTAAATCCTTTCAAAAGTCTAGCTTTTTCTGTTACCTCTCGGTGTCTTCTCCTAGATCGTCAATTTCTTTGGTCCAAAGTATACTACTGTCTTCTTTTTTACTGTCAGTTTCTTGTTCTTCTAAGTGCCTTTGATCTAAAAACAGTTGAAGGGATTAACTTTATTAGAATAACAAAAATAATTTTTTTTTCAAGAAAGCTTGCCTTGAAACAGAGTGCCAAAAATGAAGGCCAGTCAGTGGCCCCTGAAGTATGCAATGCACTAGTTCTCTTCCCACGGGAGCAGAGGGCCAGGTGGCAGTCTGCAGGCGCCTGTGTTCACAGCAGCTGCTTCTGGGGTCTTGGGAGCTCTCTGGTGCCAGGTGAAGCTGCAGGAAACCCTGCCTGTGCCAAGGCTTAAGAGAGAGAAGGAAGCAGAGGAAAGAAACGGCACATAAAAGAGGAGGTAAAGGACCCTGAAAACCAAATGCACCAATTTGCTTTGGGGAACCAACCTGTTTTCATTTGTTAGATGCTTCCATGGTTGAAGACCCAGGGAAAGAATCTGGGTGGGGAAGGGGTGTACCTCAAATGTATGCTAGGCATTTTGCATACGCCATCTCACTTAATCCTGCCGGCACCCTATGTGGGGAAGGAGATCTGTGTAGCCACCAGCGCGTACCATCTGTAGAGCGGCCAGCGTCACTCGCTGTGTTCTCACCCGACACTGTGGGTGAGGACTGTTGCTGCTTCAGGTGCTCTGTCACAACACAAAAGCACAAGCAAATTATGTCCTTCTCAAGGTCCCTGGGTTTGCCCTTGACTACTAAGCTAAAAAGGTCAGCAGTTTGAACCCACCCAGCAGCGCTTGTGGGGGCAGGGGGTGGGGGAGTGGGAAGGCCTGGAGATCTGATTCCCTAAAGATTAAAACCAAGAAAACCCTGTGGAATAGTTCTACTCTGTCACATATGGGGTGTCGCCATGACTCGGAATCGATCCAACGGCACTGGGTTTGGTTTTGGGTTTTGGTTACATGTCACACCAGAGGTTCTCAAAGGATGGTCCTATAACCAGCAGCATCAGCATAAGCTGGGAACTTGTTAGAAATGGAAACTGTCGACCCCACCCCATACCCTCTGCATCAGAAATTCTGGGGTGGGGTCCAGCCATCTGTGTTTTCACCAGCCCTCCAGATGATTCTGGTGCCTGATGGAAAACCACTGCTCCGGGCATGCCAGCTTTGAAAGGAATTCTTCAAACATGACAAAAATCCCGTAACGCTAAAAAGAAACAGCAGAATGCTGCCGCCGCTCTTCGGGACACGGAGCCCTGTGTGGCACTGTTCGTAGGCACTCACATACATTAAGTCACAACCTTCATAACCATGCTATGAGATGGTCTCATTATCGTCAGTCCTTTCTAACAGACGAGGAAATTAGGGTAAAAAAGGCTATGAACTTGCCTAAAATCACATCCATAGTAGGTGTTAGAGCTGGGATTTGATTCTGGGCAGTCTAGGTTTATGCTCTTAATCTCTATCTTATACTCTCGCAAAACGTTTGTAACAACATCAGTGCAATCCATGTTTTCCCCCACCTCTACTGGCCTGTATTTCATATTTTTTACCTGGTCTATGTATCCGAATCGACTCGATGGGAACAGGTAGATGGAAAGACAGAAGAAGGCAGAGACTGTAATTGCCTGCTCCTAAAGAAAATCACTAGACCAAGACAAGTATCTGCTTTATCAGTACACAGCTCTGCATTTGGTAAGACATTCGGTCTCCTCCAAGTGCTCCCAGAAACAGGAGGGAGTATAGCCAGGCCACCCAGAGCATTGTGGGATGCAGGTGCAGGTCGGCTCCCTTCCTGAAGATCAGGAAGCAGCCCCTACCTGGCAGCTCCTGGTCATCAAGAAGCCCCAAAATATCCTTTAAAATAAAAAATCCATTTTTATCCTTGTTAAAAGTAGTCCCTTGTTGATTTGAAAGGATCACCTATCTCCTGGGGTTCCTATTTAGGCTGCTGTCAGGAACCGACAGCTTTCGGCGTGGGCCCTCCAAAAGCGTGAGGTCAGCCCAGGCCACTCCCCCCAACTGTCTCCTGAGGGGAAACAACAAGTGATGACATGAGATAACTGGGTGGGAAGGTCCATTATCAGGACAAACTACTCAAATGCCCTCTGCCCCGTGTCTTTCTGGAAAATTACTGACCTATCTTAAAGTACAGACATCACCTAGAAACCTGGCCCAGATAACTTCCATAAGTGAAATGAGCAAGGGCTTATGCAGAGTGCTGGGGTGCAGCAGTGTTGTGAGGTTAGAGCTCAGGCGGGAGCCTGGTAACACTGCGGCTGAAATGGGGGAGGTGGGGACGGGTGGGAGGTGTAGGGGGCATGGTGACGTAGAGAGGACAGGAGGATTCAGACGAAAAGTATCAGCTATCGTCAAATGGCATGGGAGTCTACAAACACTGCCTTAAGCCATGACCGAGGAACAAAGGACATCTAGAATCTACCCGAGTAGGACACATGTATGGGTGACCCCCACTCTCACAAGCCGCGGTTCTACTATTTTACTAAGAAGAGCAACTGTAGAAGGAATTTGCAAGGACGAACTAGGAAGTCTCAGAGGAGAAAACTGGAGGGAGGGTTTGCTGAGAGCCTGACCCAACAACCTAGTGACCGGTACAACCCTGTGGCACTGGGCGAGGCGTGAGGTGAGGCAAGGAAGGGTCTGTTGTTGTTGTTGTTAGTTGCCGTGGAGTCGATTCTGACTTATGACAACCCCATGTGTGCAGAGCAGAACTGTGCTCCACAGGGTTTTCAAGGATGTGACCTTTAGGAAGCAAATCGCCAGGCCTCCTGAGGTGCTTGTATGTGGGTTAGTAGTCCAGCACTTAACCTTTGCGCCACCCAGTGACTCCTAGAAAGGACCTAACCTGATGCCATCGAGTCGATTCTGACTCATAGCAACCCTATAGGACAGAGCAGAACTGCCCCATAGGGTTTCCAAGGAGCGGCTGGTGGATTCGAACTGCCAACCTTCTGGTTAGCAGCCAAGCTCTTAACCACTGCACCACTACAGAAAAAGAAGGAAACCAAGAGAGGTTTCTGGCAGCTCTGACTGGCCTCACTCAAGTTCATTACGCTGTGGGCCAGGGGCTGGGAGTTGTGATAAGGAGTAGGGAAGCCGGCCACCTGCCTCCAAACCCTATATAATCATGCACCATTTACTTTCAGCTGGGCAGGGCCAACTGATTAGCTGCAAATAAAATTAAGCTGGTACCACTCAGCCTCTGCTTGAAATGGAAAATTCTGGTCTCATTAGGTCTTGTGCCACTGACTTCCTGCCCTCAAGAAAGGGATTTCTCCACAATGCCAATAACTTTAGTACCTCCTGCCAATGGCAGAACTAACAGTACAGGTGTCTTGGCCTCAGTAGCCAAACTTCACGCCTCTAAGCTGGTTTGAAAGGGAGATAAGAATTCCTTTAATAGAGAATGAAGAACACCAAAGACACAAGGAAAGTATTAGCCCAAGAGACAGTAAGGGCCACATAAACCAGAGACTTCATCAGCCTGAGACCAGAAGAACTAGATGGTGCCCGGCTACCACCAATGACCGCCCTGACAAGGAACACAACAGAGAGTCCCTGATGGAGCAGGAGAAAGGTGGGGTGCAGAACTCAAATTCTAGTAAAAAGACCAGACTTAATGGTCTGACTGAGACCAGAGGAACCCTGGGAAGCATGTCCCCTGGACTCTTGTCAGTCCAGAACTAAAACAATTTCCAAGGCCAACTCTTCAGACAAAGATTGGACTGGACTGTGGGACGTAAAATGATACTTGTGAAGAGTGCGCTTCTTAGCTCAAGCAGATACATGAGACTTAACAGGCAGCTTCTGTCCGGAGGTGAGATGGGAAGGCAGCAAAGGTTAGGAGCTGGTTGAACAGACATGGGAAATCAGGGGTGGAAGGGAAGAGTGTGCTGTCACAGTATGGGGGGAGCAATTAGGGTCACACAACAATGTATGTATAAATTTTTGTATTAAGAGACTAACTTGAAATGTAAACTTTCACTTAAACTACAACAATGAACAAACAAACAAAATTCCTTTAATAAGTGTGTGTTTTCCTGTGTATATTCTCAACAACAATTTTTTTTTTTTTTAATGCATCAAAATAAACCACTTGAACGTTGTTTTTTTCCCTTAGACATTACCACAGGCACTTTAAGTAACAAAATGACAACAGATACAGGCCAATTATCCTGGCTAGGCTGAGGCAGTAATCTGAGGCCCATTTTATTGGAAAACTTTCCCTTCCTGAATTCTGTACATTCAACCAGACCTTCCCAGGGGCCTTTTGTAGAAGTGCCCACACCAGAGACAAAACATCCTGGATAGGGGACATAACTGACAGGGGCCACGGAGTATTTTGTATTGAACATCCCTTACCAATTTCGTCAAGTAGCTCCTGAGACGGTGGTGGTAACTCATCAATGTGACGCTGTGAGATGGCTTCTACTAGTTCTTGAAGAAGATAAAGAGGAAAATGACTTAACATCTCCTGGACCTGAACTGGATTTTCCAAGCTCCCACATGGACTTGACTTAGGATTTCTCAATGATGAAACAAACTAAGGGAGGAAGAAGCCTCCTACATAACAACCGTATTTGAGATCTTCTAATGTAGGAATTATGTGGGAATGGGAAACCCTGGTGGTGTACTGGTTAAGAGCTATGGCTGCTAACCAAAAGGTTGGCAGTTTGAATCCACCAGGTGCTCCTTGGAAACCCCACGGGGCAGTTCTACTCTGTCCTAGAGGAATCGACTCGATGGCAGTGGAATTTTTTTTAATGTGGGAATGGCCTTCACTCCCTCTATTGCCCCCAAACCCTTTCCTGAATCACCCTTTACTCCAGTACTGCTTAGTCTGTGCTCTCCCTTCCAAAGGATATTTGGAGTAGGTGAGGTGCAAATTCTCATTAAGAGGCTCGGGACTCAATCTGGCCCAGGGCTGCTGCAGGAGATATAGAGGCTGTGAACTATCCAAAATGAACAAGACTACAAACTAGGGGGCCTTACTCTATAGATTATCAGCCCAGGGAGGCATAGGAAGGAGCAACCATGCTTTGGGCCTTCACCCAAGTGCTCAATTATAACATTAACCAAAATCCCTCAACACAATTTATAAAATCTCTGTCCCCTGAGGGGCATTCCAAGAGTTGTACTAAAGACATAAGACATTAAAATTAATGTAGTAAAGACAATATGCCTCAAGAGCTGTTAACACCCTCACTCCCTTTGACTTGAAAATTGTCTTCTAGGAATCTATCCTAAGGAAAGGGTCAGAGGTGCAGAAAAAGATTTATGTACAAAGAGCCAAAACTGGAAAACAACATAATCTTCAAAATAGAGGACTGGTTAAGTGACATATGTAGAATGGACTATTATTTAGCCATTACATACATTTATGAATAATTTTTAATGACAGGGAAAAACCTGAAAATAGAAAATCAAGGGAAAAAAGCAGGCTAAAACTGATATACAATATGATCTCGACTATGTTAAAAAATATATTTTTTATACACTTCTAAAAATATAAAAAGATGAGCACCAAAACAGTATATGAGGTTAAAAATTGGTGGTAGGGTTAAAAGGTGGTTTTTATTTTCTTTTTCAAGCTCTTCTTTATTCACCAAGTTTTCTCAATGAGTGTGTTTTACTTTTATAATCAGGGAGAAAAACAGCATTTTTGTTTTCATCTAATGCAGCATCAAAGATGAGACCAAGGCTCCCTTAATGTGGCTTACTATAATGGAGTTAAATATTAAATGTTAAATACCTTTGGGAAGGCTCCTTCTCTGGGTGGTGGGGAGTGATGTGCCAGATGCCTTAGCTGTGCTGGGGGAACCAGACCCAGTAAACACAGACAACCGTTTCTGTAAGAAAGACAGACACAAGGTCACTGACACGTGCATTGAGTTACAAAACCACATGCAGTTCAATCATTTCCAAGATTAAGTTTGCATATTATTTATGAAAGAAGTCACTTGTTTTGCAGATGAAGTCAAACTGTGTTCCAATGTTCCCTCCTCTGGCAAGCCTTCTTACCCCTCTTTGCCTCCTCAGCACTCATTACTTTTGTCTTTGTTACTTCAGACCTCTGGGGAAACCCTGGTGGTATAGTGGTTAAGAGCTATAGCTGCTAACCAAAAAGCAGGCAGTTCAAATCTACCAGGCACTTGCTGGAAACTGTATGGGGCAGTTCTACTCTGTCCTATAGGGTAGCTATGAGTCAGAATCAACAGCAATGGGTTTCTCCCCAGGCGGTGAGCTGCTTAGGGGCAGGCCTATGTCTTTCTTATTCACACTCCATGCCTAGAAGAATGCCTGGAATGGTGCCTGGCACTTAGAACCTGCCCAATTAACAGTTTGCTGAATGAAAGCATGAAATTCCTTGTCATTTCCCTACTTAAAAGTGGGACCTTTTGTGAGCCAAATGCCCAAAGAAGTTGTCAATCACTTCTTTTCACTGAGGACAAAAGCCACTTATCAATTTGTCTTTTGAATGGTCAGTCAACAAGTTTTTAATGAGCAAAGACCAAGTAAAGAACTTGTAGCTTTCTTGAAGGGGCTACACTTATGAAATATGATGGAGTTGAGGACGGGGGAGGGAAAGAAGATAAAGGGGAAGAGGGAAAAGGCAGTCTATACAATCAGGTGTTTTTACTGCAGATTGCTACTTTAAGAGGTCAGAGAAGGTAGAGAACCATCAACACTGGGTTGGGGGGAAGGGAATAACCAGGGGGTGTTTCAAGGAGGCAGCAGAGCTTGGGTCTCCTCAGGTGAGTAGATCCTGGTTAGAGGGAGAGAACTATGCAGATGAAGGCAGCATCATAAACTATGGCCCAGAGGCTGGCTCTTTAGAGAAATTGCCAAAAATTATTCCTGGAAAAAAAAAATAGCATGAAAAACCAGGATCCATCCCACAATACAGACTCGGGAGAGGAGCCCCAGGAAGCCTGGAGAGGATGCAGCTTTCTTCTTTGCACTCTTTACACAGTGGATAAAGTCTGGGCTGACGCCATGAGTGTGCAATGCAAAATTTATGTACTTACGAGGTCAGTCAGTCTTGAAGGGGACATTTCAGAGGAAGTAAGGAGGGAATCCAGGCTCCTAGCTTTCTCCCGGACAGTTGTAAATTTATCAGATGAGGTTCGAAGGGATTCCTGACTGTTCCAGCAAGAGGTAGACGCTGTTTTCACCTGAAATGTGATACTTCCAAGACAGTCTTTATACCGACTGGCAGATGAAGAAATTGACCCTATTGTAGAAAAGAGGGCATTCATGTCTGAAACCTTTATATTATTTAAAAAACAAAAACAAAAACCTCAATACCTATACCAGGGACTTTCCAAATAGTTAATAACTGAAATGACCACAGATCTGAGTGAGGTACAGCTCCTCAAAAAAATTAGTCTCTAAACTTGGCCATCAAAATAAAGGAAGATTATTTAAACCACTAGTATACTGGAAATAAGGACACTGAAGAGAAGACATCTGACACTGGCTATGTCCTGATGTATGAAGCCCTGATGGTGCAGTGTTAAGAGTTCAGCTGCTAACCAAAAGGTCAGCAGTTTGAATCCACCAGCTGCTCCTTGGAAACCTTATGGGGCAGTTTTCTACTCTGTCCTGTAATGCTGCTATGAGTTGGAATCAACTCAACAGCAACAGGTTTGTTTGTTTTTTTGGTGTACTGATGCAGGACTCAGAATCATATAAGTTTAAGTGCACAGTACTGTTTTAACTTGCAAACTCTAGAGAATCCACTGTCTTTGCACTAAATTCAGTGGTGCTTAGAGTACAGAGTAGACTCTGTGTTTGCATGTCTCTACTACTGCAGTTAAAACCTTCTACCACCTGCTTAATTTCCACCACCACCACCCCCACCTGGCCTCCCACATCCCCTTCAGCTTTAGTGAGAAAATAGTCACCGGGTCTGGCTTCCCCTAGGTAGCCCATGTGCAGGGGCTGTTAGTTCCTCTCCCAAAATGTTTCTCCTTCTGGTGGGTCATTACCTGGGCTGAGCGGAGTGCTGACACTAGTAGGTGCGTGGTTTATTTTGGGTGTTTTACGTGAAGCTTCCTTAAAAGAGCTGTCTTGTTCACAGGAGATACTTGATAGGTCTTGAATATCCATCAAGGATCTAAAGAATTCAGATTAGAGCACAAAGTAATTGAGAGAAACTGTTTAGAAAAATCAAACAACATATTCCTGAGAGGTACTTTTTAAGTGTACTCTTGACAAAATCTTTATTTGGCAATAAGCCAGAATCAGAGAATATCTTAAAGAGACATTAACTTTACAAGACACCTCAGCAGCTAAAAATAAAACTATTTCCGTGAATGAGAGGATATTTATGGGGAAAACAGGTTTAATCTACTGCAGGTATAAACATATTATTACTATTATCACTATATTTCCTTGATTGTAAGATATTATTAATTATAAATTACATCATCAATTTAATTACAGCTTTTTGTTGAAAGAAGAAACACATTTTATGTGCACATAAAAACAGAAAGAATGTGGACTCTGACAAATGAGGAAACACTATTCCACTAAAACCAACACTTTACACAGCATCTGTAGGCTACACTTTAGTGGCCGTACATGTCTTTTTCTTTCCGTTCCTTTGGTGGCTCCTTTAAAGTCTCTTCTTGTTCACCTTCAGCACTATAAAAGAGAAAGTGAGAAATTATATGAATCCTATCTGCCAGTGAAGTGCACAAACTTGGTACGAGGGACCGGTTTACCAGCCCAGTGTGCAAGGTAGCAGAAAGGGCACTACACTAAGCTCAGAAGTGGAAAAGTGTGGGCTCTGGTCCTGACTCTGCCACTAAGCAGCCCCATGTTCTCAGGCAAGTCTGGGCCTTGCTTTGGGCCTCAGTTTCCTCTCCAGAGACTGAATAAATAATCTCTAAGGGTCAGCCCAGCTCTGAAATCTGCCCATGACTCTCTAACAGTGAGCAAGTTCCTGAGGAAATCAATGGGCCACAGGAAGTTTGCTGGGAGAGGAATGTTGGAGCAAGGGGCACAGCCATGGGGGCCTTAGCACCTGTGAAACAGTTGCCTGGCATACAGTATCAGGAGAGGCCAAGAGAGGCTCGTGCCCAAAAATGGTCAGAAAAGAATACTGAAAACAAGCATGGCCTGTTTCCACTGTAACCATTATTTAGGATTCAATCTTAACACTATAGAACACTAACTATAAGCCAGGTCCCTTTCTAAATCCTTCCACATACATTTTCACACCTCTCATCCTTGCAACAATCCTGCGAGACCAATGGTATAAGGGAATAAGGTGGATTCTGGTTTGAGTTGTAACTTTATTAGCACTGTTCATCAAAATGTTTCTGGTTCTCCTTCTAGGCACATAGTAGGACAGTACTTTTTGATCCTCTTAATTTACATAAGTGGTCACATGATTTTAACCAATGAAATGTAAGTGAAAGGGATGTGAATCACTTGCGGGCAGAAACTTTAAGAGCCAGTGCAAAATTCACCATGCTCCCTTTTTCCCGCCTCAGCAATCAAGGAAGCACAAGGAAGAAGCCTCCCTCAGTCTGCATCTCTGATAGAAGGTAATATAGAACAGAAAACCCCTAGATGACCCATGAGGGACATGGAGCATGAACCCAGACAAACCAAACCCACTGCCATCAAGTCAATTCTGACTCGTAGTGATCCTGCAGGACAGAGTAGAACTGCCCCATAGGGTTTCCAAGGAGCGCCTAGTGGATTCAAACTGCTGACCTTTAGGTTAGCAGCCAAGCTCTTAACTATTACACCACCAGGGTGCATGAGCAATAAATAAACTTTTGCTGTTTTATGTCACTAAAATTTGGGGGTTTTTTTGGTTATGTAGCAGCATGTAGCCTACCCTGACGGATACAGCGACTTACAAGCTGGGTGAACTTAGAAAAAAATACTTAAACTCTCTGAACTTTGCTTTTCCCATGGGTAAAATGGAGATAACAGTATGGATCTCAGAGGGTTATTGTGTAGATTAAATCAGACAATAAAACAAAGTGCCTGGCACATGGTAGATGCTCAGGAAATAGTATCTTTAATTATTATAGATAAGGAGATTGAGGCTGGGGTGGGAGGGGAGGAAGTGAACTGAATGTTACTGTGCCAGGCCCTTTACATCTATATAGTTACCTTTTTTAAATAAATTTTTATTTTGAGGTAATTGTGGATTCATATGCAGTTGTAAAAAATACAGAGATCCCATGTACTTTTTACCCAGTTTCCCCAATGGTAACATCTTGCCAAACTACAGTGCAATACCACAACTAGGACACTGACAGTGATACAGTCAGGACGCAGAGCACTTCCACACCCCAGGGACCCCTCCTGTTGCCCTTTTATAGTTACACCCACTTCTCTCCCACCTTACTCCCTCCTTAATCCCTGGCCACCACTACTCTGGTCTTCATGTCTATAATTTTGTCACTTCAAGAATGTTATATAAATGAAATTATACAGTAAACAACTTTTGGGGATTGCTTTTATCAGTCAGTATAATTCTCTGGAAACTGATCCAGGTTGTCGTGTGTATCAGTAGTTGGTTCCTTTTTATTACTGAGCAGTGTTTCATGGTATGGACATACCATTGTATGCGTAACCAGTCCTCTGCTGAAAGACATCTGGGCCGCTTACAGTTTTGTGCTATTATGAATAAAGCTGCTATAAACATTCATGTACACGTTTTTGTGCAGGCATAAATCTTAATTTCTTTGGGATAAATGCCCAGGAGTTATTACTTTCAATCTCTATGTCAACATTCTTAGTAAGGATTCTTATCCCTGTTTTAAAGATGGCAAAAAAGAATAGAAGGATTGAGAAACTTGACCAAAGACTCATGGATAGGAAAGCAAAGTCAGGATCTGAATACAGATAATGACTTGTTTTTCATTACCCCTCACAATTCTGCTGGACAAGTCCTAACAAAGCTAGGCTGCCCAAACCTACTTTTCGTAATACAGTGGATAATATACTTGAAGACAAGCAATATATAGATATGGAGTTAATACTCACCATTTAGCATTGATTCCATAAGTCTGAAACTATAAATAAGATAATAACAGTCCATACCTTTGTATAGGTTGGAACTGAGATTTGGACAAAATCTCACTCTTTCCAAGGACTCTTCCCTTCATTTGGAACTTTTCCTTGTCTGAAAGAATAAAGTAAATATCATTTTTATACTGAATTTTTGCCAACCCAGATTATTATTTTCGTCTCCTAGAATTTCCATTGGTCTGATCCCAGAATGAGAAATAATCCAGATAAATAAAGTACTTCCCCAGTTGGGTTTGGATTGAGTACTATAGAAAAGGTTTTTGCCCTGAAAGTTTATTTTCTTTGCTCAGAGGGGAGAACTATATTCTGACACTCAGAATACAAGCAATCCATTTACTGGCCTTTCAGTTATAATAGAACAGTTATTTCTGGAGACAAATGTTGTTTGTCTTTTCTGGAAGGCAAACTGACCCGTTTCCTGTCAACATTCACCAGGGGGCGTCAAAACCAAGAACTGTTTGTCAGCTAAAGATTCCAAATAGAAAAGACCGTTAGCTGGGCATTCCCACAAGCTAACTGCCTCCTGGCCATCAAACCCCACAAACAGAGTCAGGGTGGGGGTGGGGTCTGAGCTCTAAGGAGCCAATTCCACTGTCTTCTGTTCTCCTTGGCACCAAGTGTCTGAAGTCCCTCCTCTCCATCTCCGTAAGATGCTTTGTAGACCTCCCCTCAGAGAGGGCTAGTATCCGCTTTCTTTCCCACCGTTGTGTGGCCCTGGTGTTTATAGAAATGGGGATGGAGCAACGTGCCCAGTTTCTACTGCCCATGACCCTCTCCCCCACATTTCTTAGGTCCAGGTGGTCCACTGGGCACTAGGAAAGCCCACCAGACAGTGCTACCTTCAGCTGGTACCAAGAGCTCTGAACACACCAGTGGAGAGGCCTTAGGGTTCCCCTTCCTTTGACCCTCTTTTAAAACGCAACACACCTAGAAAGCATAAACTAATAAGCACAATTTAGGGCTGGAGAGGAATTTAGAGATTTTACAATCCGGCCCCCTCTTTCACTTTGTACGTAGGAGGGGAGGGGAGGGCCCTGGGGAACTGATTTTGATTTGCCCAAGGTCATGCAGAAAAGATCCATGGCAGAGCAGGGCCTGGAGCCTGGCATGCTTCCCAGGGCCCTGTCATGTCCCCTGGTGCGGAGGGGGATATATCAGAGCACTAGGTGGGAAGGAGGGCAGAAAAGGGCCGACAGAAAAGAACAGAATAGAAACCAGAGGCTTTTCCATGTGCTTCAGATATTTGTATCGAACTGGCCCTGGTTTTCTGATCCACCTGCCTTACAACTTCTCCACCCCACCCAACCCTTCTCCAAACACAAGAAAAGAGGCCACATATAGGCCAGGCCCAAAGAAAAAGTGATCATGGGCAGAGGTTCACAGGAAGAGGCGGGGCCCAAGCCACAGGTCTGGAGACTTTTAATACATATCATCCTAAGAATCTAACTGTTCATCTGAAAGCTTACAGCCTCCTAAATGTTCCTCATGCCGTGAGAGGTAGAAGCCAGAGTGTGCAACAGGTGGAAGGGTGGGTGCTGAGGACCCTGCCTCTGAGGGGAAATCACTGAGCCTCAGTTTTCTCATCTATAAAGTGAAAGGTTATCTCTAAGGACCCTCCAGTTCCAAATACACATGATCCGACAGAAAGCGAAGGCAAATGATTTTCAAAGGACTCTACCGTAATGGCTGATTACCAGAGCCTGGAGGTTGGGCAAGCGCACCTTGTATTCCTCCTGAGGCCTCTTCGATGGGACTTGAGGTCTACAAAAGAATGAAGAAGAGCAAAGAAAGGAGGTTCACTAGAGGCAGACATATCATCAAAAGGTAGAGCTTCTTGGTGTTCTTAAACCTTGAAAATCTACACAAGGTACCTATATCTTTTATTTTAAAAAAAAGAACAACAAATCTTCTTCATAAACAGTAAGTATTTATTTGCACTGTATTCTCCTCATCCCAAAAAACAAGACTCCCACTTCCCATTTTGAGCACTTTCCCCCTCTTCAAATCATTACCCCTTCCTTACCCCAAATTTCCATCAAAAATGTTTTGGTACTGTTTTGATCAAAGAGTCTGTAGAAGAATCCTGATCAAAAAGGGGAAAATACAGAACAGAATTTTAAATTCTTATGGGATCCAGACTTTATGGATCCATTAAGGCTGATAAACCCCTAAAACTATTGCTGTGAGATAATCTTTAAACTTTAAACCAAAAATATCCCCTGAAGTCTACTTTAAACCAAACAACAGTTTAGCTTAACTAGTAAAGGATGTCTGCGCTGAACATTGTGCCCTTTTAAGAACTATCTATACAGGATCAAACTGACAACAGTTACTCGAAAGAGTAGATAGGAAACTTAGGGGATAATGAGTTTATGTTAATGTGGGAAGAACAATTTGGAAAAGGAGGGTAAGAATGGTTGCACAACTTGAAAAATGTAATTAGTGTCTCTGAATTGTACATGTAGAAATTGCTGAATGGATGTATGTTCTGCTGTGTATATTCTCAACAACAAATAAAAAAATTAAAAAATAAAAAAATGTTTTGGTTCTTGGGAGCTTTATCAAAATAGCCAAAGAAGGCTGAAAAGATGGCCCAGTCCGCAGAACTAATCCATGGGGTGAGAAGTCAGGACAGACAGTGGTTCCTTTTAGAGGGATGCAGTGACTGGAAGGAGGCACAAGGGGATCTTTGTGGGACTGGGAATATTGTTTTATGGAGCCCTGGTGATGCAGTGGTTAAAACGTTTGGCTGCTAACCAAAAGGTTGCCAGTTTGAACCCACCAGCCACTCTGAGGGAAAAAGATGTGGCAGTCTACTTCCATAAAGATTACAGCCTTGGAAGCCCTATGGGGTAGTTCTACTCTGTCCTATAGGGTCGCTGTGAGTCAGAATTGACTTGATGGCAATGGAGATTTTGCTTCCTTGATCTGGGTGACGTGGTTACAAGTTTTTGGAAGTTCACTGAGCTATATACACTTAAGATCTATTCACTTTTTACTATATTTATACTTTAATAAAAATTTTCTTAATGGCCTGGCCTGCTCACTGTAAAATTACATTTAAAGAGTTGTTAATAACAGAAAACTCTGATTGTTTTCAGAAGCACAGGCAAGTGGAAATTATACTTTTGGATGCATCACTGGATTGTTCGTATCAGCCAAATGCTGCAATTGACGTGTACAATGCCCCCTTTCCTCCACCACATCTTCCATGTTGGTAAAAGACCCTAAAATGGTGGTAAGTTGGGGAGGAGAGGGAATTATGTAAGTAAATAAGAGAATCTAATGAGTTCCATTTTGCAAATAAAAACACTCTGTGCAAGTAGGTTCTTGCAAAAGCTAAGAGAGATTCCTGAGAAAGGCTGGTGTACTGGACGGCCTCAGATTTGGACCTGAACCCTTGGTTCTATTTCCAGTGGCTTGCCCACCACTGCAGCTTGGCAACCCTGGGTTAATTCCCTCCGTCGCCAGTTCTTCACCCAGAAGAATATTCTTCACCCACAGGCCTACTAGCAGGCCTTCTCTCCCCCACAGAAAGGATATGTGAATTAGGCAACATGAATAAAAGTGTTTTGAAAAAAACTACAAGGTGCTGTACAAACACAGGACCACAGTTTTGGGAGAAACTGCACACGATCATTCCTTCTTAAAGATCTTTTCCTCAGGTGGTTCTTCAAGGCACATGTGAAACCATGGATAAGTGAACATTATATACTGTTTTTACATACAAGCTATTTTTCTCAATCAAAATGATTTAGAAAGGAAGAAGGTAATGGAGAAGGCAGAAAATATACTTTACCCTGAACTTTGACGATTTTACCTCTAGAGCTAAGTTTTCTTGAGCAGTCGAGGAGTAAAAATACTCATAGTCTGGAGTTAAAAATTCATCTGTTATGTCCTCAGAAGATTCCGGTGAACAAGTTGATTGCACAGACTGATCCTATTAATAATGTAGGAAATCACTCTTAAGCTGGTATTCATCGTGAACAAAGCCCTTTAGAGTTGGCGGCAGTGTGAATAACCAGGTTAGCTAAAATTGCCCGGCAGTCAGGGTGGCACTCTCCCTAGCTGGCTCTCCCTGTCTGCCCATCGGCCTCTGCCTGCCTTCCTGGAGCCCCACGGGGGGAAGGGAGACATCCTGAGTCTCAGCGTAGGAATGAGCAGGGGGTTAGGGGACTTTCTACTCTGAGAGTCTAAGTAAGGAGAGAGGCCAGAGTGATGTAAAACATTTGGAAATAAATGCAAAGGGTGATGGTAGCACAGCATGGTGAGTGTAATTAATGTCACTGAATTGTACAATTAAAAATGGTTAAAATGGCAAAATTTTTGTTTTATATATATATTTTACACAATAAAAATGATAAAGAAAAGCCCTACACAGTTCAAGCTAGGGACTGGATTTAAACACCCTAATCTCTCAAGGGTGTAGACGTCGTCCATACATTGGCATCTTGCTCCAGATCAGGAGGCTGAGGAGGCTCAGAACTCAGCAGTCTCAAGTATTACCATTTAGCAGCAAGTAAAGGAGCATGATTTTAAAATAGCAATGCAATCTCAGTAATAAAAATAAAATTAAAAAGCAATAGCTTTTCTTCCAGCATCTCTGCCCCATCCTTTCCTTTTCTGGCCTGATCACCACAAGGCCAGACAACTGGCTTCTCTCCCCACCTCCGATCATCCCTTTGCAAAGGTTTTGTGGCTCATTTCCTGGGACACTGGTTTTGCCACACGCTTCCCTGCCTGCGCACTTAACAGTTGCTCCCCTTTCCCTCTCACAATAAACTGAACTTTTCTCCGTCAAGCCTGGCCTCCCCCTTACTGTCCCAACTTTCCTGACTAGACCTGCTTCTCCAGCCAAGCCAGTATGCTTAACACGGGCACGTTCTCCCAGCCCTCACATGAGAACAAGAATAAATTGTCCTTGTTAGGGATTTGTGTGCTGTAATTAAATACATAATATGTTCTTTGAAAGACTTCTAATTATATCACAATTGTATTTTTTTTATTGTTTCATTCTCAATTGCTGTTTTTATTCATTAAATGATTGTGGCCTCACGTCAATGGCGATAAAAAATTTTGGTTCCTTAATCTGGCTGGACTGTGGCCCAACTGCCTGCTTCAAGGGCGTGTTAAACCCCTGAAGTGAGGCTGCAACCTCAGCGCAAATGCTAAGGAATGAGTGGACCTCACGAATCCCGCTGAGGGGCAGCTGTCAGGCATGAACACTTCCCTTCACCAACTCTGAGAGCTTCACCTGAATTTGGGTCTCAGAGCACATTTCAGACGAAGGCACTCTCATCACAGCCCTGGCTTTGCTCTTCCTATCTGTCCAGTCCGACCTCAGGCACCTGCCGGGTTCTAATCTTTGGTATCTAATCTTGCACTGGGCTTTAACAGATGATCTTGTCTGCCCTACTAGACGGTAAGTTCAAGGGCTAGAGCTGAATCTGACCCTTGTGTGTGTTCTCCAAGCTCCAAGATACACATTGATTTGAACTGACTCAAAAGGTATCGAACGGGGGAAAGACTGCTTCATTCATGTCAGGACATGCTCCAACCAAAAAGAACCACTATAGATATTATTTCAGTGTCATATTGCATAACAACAACTCAATTCTACTTTATTAGTTCCTTGGATTCAACTTGGCTCTCCAGGCCATGTTACTTACGCTGTAAGATTTCTCAATGACCACGGATGTGTCAGAACTTGCTTGAAAGGCTTCACTATGTTCTGGCTGCTCATTCTTTCTGAGGGACAGATGCCTGGCACCTAACAATTATAACACAACCAGGGCCAAAGTCACTCAGTGATACTGGAAGGGGCAGAGGGTGGCGTTTTAAGAGAAGAGATGTGTGTGTATTCTGCTAAGGGTGACCATGTCCCACACATCGGTTAGGTCCAGAGAGTGGGGACTGTTAGTTTGGCTGGCCCCAAAACGCAGCCCTGGGTCATCCACCCCATTGCCCACCCATTCATGAATGATGTTTGACAAGGAAAAGATTCTAAATACCAAAAATACCCAAGGCGACAGATTTTCTGCCTAAGATAAACGATCATTTTAGATGTGTCCTTCCTTGGCCCTGACTGCAGGCAAATTACCAGGAAATACAGAGCCTTGAGTTTTAACCTGCAAATCTATACAGCGATGACGACACATGTCATTTGACTGGCCGTAGGCTGCTCTGGCATGGCGGCTCTGGGAGTGAGTGCATGTATTTCCGACTTAAAATGCAATGCGAAGCAGCGGGTAGTAGGGAGTGGCGTCCACCACTGCCCAAGGTAAGAAAAGTTCAATTCCTTGCCAGGTTAGACCAAGGACCAGGGTCTGTGTATGGAGATTATTTTACTTCCTTTGGACAAAGGGATCTGCTCCAGCAATAGAAAGACTCAGGAATCTCTGGGTTTCTTTACCTGTAGGGGGGAAGGGCATGCTACTTTCCGCTGGAATTCAAGGCTCCCAGACAGGTGGGAAAGGGGAAAGGACAAGCAAAAAGGAAATATGCCAGAGGTTTACTTATTTTTGAGAGCTGATAAATGCATGGAGCTCACATATCGCGACTCCCCCGAATGAACTTACTGGTGAAGCTCCGAGGCCCAGGCTGCTCACCAGGCTGGTCACTCTTGTCCGTTTTGTCACACTTGCTGTTCCCTCCTGGCTTGTCATTTTCCCTGGGATACTCTACCACCTGCTGCCAATCCACGCCCTCAGGGTTCCTAGTGGGGGGCTGCAGCAGGGGATCAGGCTCTTTTCCAGCCTCACTCTCTAAAGCCACACCACTCTGAGGATGCCAAGGAGGTACCGTGAGCTGCCCAGCAGCTGCTCTCTCTGCCATTTCTTTCACCTCCGCTGGGCACAAGAGAAAGCGGCGTTTAAAACATCATCATATACACTGGGGGAGAAAGTTTTCCATTCTTAAAGAGTGATGTAATACTATCACAGCTCCTATCGTCACAATGATTGCCATTTTATAGTTGCACCATCCTTCGCTTGCCCTGTTTGGCTTGAAGGGGAGAACTGATGACAGAGCCAGGGAGGGGCAAAATTTCAGTCCGTTCCCCCAAACCACGGCCCTTGTCAGCGAATTCCAGGCTGGAAGGCAGCAGAAAACTTGTAGATGGACCCTCCTGCTGTGGAGATTTTACAAGAAAGTGACACCTGAAGTCTCTGGTCTGTAGCGACTGGTAGACAGGATTCTGAGCTTGTCTATCCTTTCTAGGCTATGCTGAACCCATATTTTGGGGGTATGTGTTTATATGTGTGTTTTCATTCCAAATGTTCTACATTTCCGCTAATGTCACATAGCACTAGTATTAATAGACACTGCATCCCGTTTTATCTTACATGATAAAACTGATACAGAAGGATAATGCCCACAGGATATGTTAAGGTGACACAGCATGCTACATGCTGTGTATTGCTTTATTACATTTGCTATGTAATATACCTGTACCAAAAACCAAACCCGTTGCTGTCGAATCTATTCCGACTCACAGCGATCCTATAGGACAGGGCAGAACTGCCCCATCGGATTTTCAAGGAGCAGCTGGTGAATCTGAACTGCTGACCTTTTGGTTAGTAGCCGATCTCTTAATCACTTTGCCACCAGGGCTCCAATGTACATATGTATAACATAATGTTTCCTCTAAAGTCTAGAAATGAAAAGAGCATTTCCCTTCTGCTGTCTGTAGTCAGAAGCGCCTTGCTTTCAAAATGGGATGATCTATTCGAAGAAAATAGTGTGGGAAGATATTGCTACAGTTATGAACAGTGCAAATAGCTATGTACTTAGAGATAATAACCAGGTTAGAAATATATCTTAAATTTCATTTTGTCTAACAAAACCCATGTCTTTATACTTACTTTTCCATTTTAAGTGTAGCTCTTCAACTTCATGATTTCTTGATTCTGGATGATAGATTTCAGAAGACACAAATTCCATATTGATCCTAAGTTGTATAGGTTTTTTTGGGTTAAGGGTGGGGGGCAGGTGGACAAAAACACATCAGTTTGCTCAAGTTTCTGACAGTGCCAGCCCACCAGCCAACCCGGAGGCACTGCCTCCTACTCCGAGCCATTCCTGGGTTGCAATTACTCGTGCCTGCCGCAAGAGGGCACCAGCCTCCCTGACATTCAGACCACAAGACTTCTTACCCGGTAGAGTCCCGGCCAGGGCTGGGTGTTCCCGGATGACCCTGCAGGTGGCTTGACACAGTGAAGAGTGCACTGCTTAGCTGTGTGACTTTGGCCTGGGCACTGGACTCTCTAGGCCTTCCGTGACTAAGAAATGAAAGGATTGGGCTGGAAGATCTCTAAGGTTTATTCAGTTTCCAAGGCCAGGCTTCGTGATTCTAAAAATGCTCTTAGGAAATCAGAGGTCAAAGAAACCTACCATTGAAATGGCTTCACCAGATAGAATCCTGGTCCCTGGGCTGTTGCAGAGCTCCCGAAAGCCACCGAACACAGGTAATGATGGTTCAGTAACTGTTTCTGCCCTTTTATCAGAAATCTGTGGTAGGAGGCCCCCCCCTACATATCAGTGTTAGCACAATAACTAATATTTGTAAAGATGGTCTTAAAGCACCAGTGATCCTGAAGAACATTCGGAGATCTGCAGCTTAGCTTCACTGAGTTCTGGGCCCTAGCCTCCCACTAGCTAGCTGTCTGACTTTGGCAAGCTTTAAATCTCTCTGGGTTTTGGTTTCCTCATCTACAAAATAAACGAGTCCTTTTTTGTCTAAATATCCCATCATTTTTTATATTTTGTTGTTGTTTTTGGGTGCCGTCGAGTCGATTTTCAACTCACAGTAATCCCATGTGACAGAACAGAACTGCTCCACAGACTGTAATCTTTACAGAAGCAGATTGCCAGGTCTTTCTCCTGCAGAACTGCTGGGTGGGTTCGAACTGCCAACCTTTGAGTTAGCAGCAAAGTGCTTAACCATTGTGCCACCAGAGTTCCTATATATATTTTACCACTTACTAAACTAACTCTTCAAAAATGTATGATCTGTGGCATATATATGAATTCCCTGTTACCTGGAATGCCCTGTACTCCCCAGCCAAGCTGGAAGACAGACTACTGAATCAGAGGGGTCAGATCTGAGGGGCTTCTTTTTTAAAGAGCAATTTGGCAACATCAATCAAGAGTCTTTAAAATGTATATAACCTTTGACCTAGTAATTCTACTTCTGGCACTCTATCCTAAGGACATAATCCAAAATGCAGAAAAAGCTTTATTTACAGTCACTGCATGCAGCCTTGTTCCTAACAGGAAAAAAGAATGAAACAAGCTAGTATTCAGCAAAGAGGGTAATCCAACAACTTCAAAATAAGTTTACAGGGTGTTATTAATAATGTGTGATAATGCTCATGTTCTACTAAAAAGTGAAAAAAACAAGATATAAAATTGCCAGTATGTGTATAGGAGCCCTAGTGGCACACTGGTTAAGAGCTCCGCTGCTAACCAAAAGGCTGAAAGTTCAAATCCACCAGCTGCTCCTTGGAAACCCTATGGGGCAGTTCTACTCTGTTCTATAGGGTGCTATGAGTTGGAATCAGCTCGATGGCAATGGGCTTTGGTATATGCATATAATTAAATTTTGATGTTTTAAATGTATACAAAAAGACTAGAAGGATAGATGGCAAAATGTTAAACTTTTCTTTGGCCTGTATTTTGTTCTTTTAGGATGAGAGGGTGAACCTGGGCAGAGGAGGCCAGAACTATAACTTTTGTGTGTCATTTAATAGCTACAGTCTCACTCCATCTGCCTGAGTGTCAAACCCTCTGATGCCAGTAAGATGGTCCTTCACTAACTCCCTTCATAAAAGTAAAATATACTCATATAAAATGATTGGGCATTCACCTTGATTCTACTTTAATATGTATACTTCCCAACATGAAAGGAACAGCAAACTTGTTGTTAGTCTCTGCCATCATGGGTAGAAAACAGAAAGTTATCTTTTCTTCAGGAGAACTGACTTCAATGCTGTGGATGAATGCTGCCATTTATCAATTACTCAAAGAAACACTAAAACTGATATACTTAGTCTACCTTGAAAAACAATTTTTTAATAATTCCCTCTATGGAAAATAAAATTTGTTTTACCTAAGTTCTGAAAAACCAAGTGTAGATACATGCTCTTCTTCCAGTGATCTGGGCTAAAACCATACCACGTTATTTCTCTGGCTGGAAGGCAGAGGGCACAGGGTAACTGAGATTGTTCAGCTCCCCGTCCAGTGAGTGAGGCCTAGTTTGAACAACCCTGGTTTCCAAACAGCCTGGTTCCTGGAGCACGGCCAAATAGAATACCTGCCAATTCTTTTTATAAAGAAAACAATCTGGGCAGTTTGGGAAAGACAAGCTGTTTTGCTTTTGACAACTGATGTGTTCTGATTAACCTCGCAGCCACTTTAGCTTTGATGTCTCCCACAAGCTTTCATCACTTTGCTCCTTTCCGCTAGCTTAACTGGGAGGATCTACCAAGACCTGTTTCTGCATTACTCTTCTTCATCCCTCACAGCCCCCTGATCACCAGAAGATCATGAAGTGTCTTCAGGGCCACATGGGAGCCCAACGGCACAGTGACACAAAGAACAATAAAACATGTGACCCACCTATCAGTATCTGGATTCCTGCTTCTGTCCAAACTGTCCTTGGCTCCTTGAGTGGGCGGAGGTTGTTCACCTCTGTTCTGTTTTCCTGAGCCACAAAGAGTCGGCAGCTTTAAAAGCAGTAAACACATGTCAGTCAGTGCTTTGATGAGGGAATTCCTCTCTTCTTCACTCTATTTTCAAAGCCATTCTTGCAAAATGTGCAGAAATAACCACACTTCCCAAAATGATTTCCCTTGGCATGTTTCATATCTCGTGCCCTATCTTTTACCTGGAGTCCTTTACCCAGGAATAAAGGGAAGCTGACAATATGTTTTCTTTCAATATGATTAACATTTTAAGAATTGAGAAATTAGAGGAATGAATTTCAATTGTCTCAAAAATTCACTTAAGCAGAAATACCATATTCCCTGATGATGCTAGAAAAAGAGGGTGAAGTTTTTAAAGAAAAGGTAAATACGGTATAATTGCTCTGTACATGGTCATATGTACCAGTAAATGGGCTCTAGGGATGGCTGCCATCAACTCCTACACTCACTGTCCACACTTCTGCTCCTGCTACCAAGAGATGGAGTCTACTTTGTCTCCCCTTGAATCTGGGCTGGCCCTGTGACTTTCTTTGACCGAAAGAAAGCAGCAGAAGCGATACTGACCCAGGGCCAGGACTAGCTTTAAAGAGGCTTGGCAGCTTCTGCTTTTGCTTGAGAAGCCAGCTGCCCTGCTGTAGAGAAGTGTGGGAAAGACTACTTGTTGAACAATGAGAAGCCAAGTGCAGAGAGAGGCCACACCGAGGAGCACCAAGGCCAGTCATGTAAATGAAGCCTTCTTGGACCTCCTAGCCAAGCCCAGCTGCCAGCTGAATGCAATGGAGTCAGTGGACCCAGTCAATGCCACATGGAACAGAAGAACCCCCTAAGTGAGCCCTGTGAAATCCCCAACCCACAAAATCAAGAGAAATAATAAGCCATTGTTATTTAAAGCCACTAAGTTTTGCACTTAATTTGTTATGCAACAATAGATAACCAAAGCATAATATACAAGAAAATGTATAATTTATATTAGTTTATAACTAATAGTTTTCTAGAAAATTCGAATTTTCAGTGGAGACAGAATTATTAGGGTCTAAGTAAATTCTCTGTGCCTTCTCTTTTTATAAAAAAAAATGCCAATGTTTTTCTAAATTTCCAAGTGAGACCTGAAGCCTCACTGGGATTCCGTGTGAAGCAGTGACAGAACCTAGAGGAGGAGTCAGGAGACCTGCCCCTAACCAGCTGTGGGCCTGGGCAGTGGCGTAGCAAGTGGTGGGGGCAGTGAGAGCTGTCTGCCCTTGGCAGGCAATAAATGGGTGCGTTGTAGGTAGAGAATTTTCAAACAATAATAAAACTCAGTAGAAGTTGGTCTGCTTTTTACCACCATGGCCTGGCAATTCTAAACAATGTCTGTGATAAAATCCTTCTTCCAATGAGCAGATCTCTCCTACTCCACCTCCATCTTAGTAAAAAGCCACTGGACCTCGGGAAGCTGAAGTCACTGAGCTTGAGCTTCATGCTCTGTGAAATGACAGAGTTGATCCATCTAAATTTCTGTAATTCTAAGAACAGCCAACTCTCTACATGTGAACTTGTTCAAGTCCACTCATTCCTTCAATGACCATTAACAGAGAACCTAGTATGTGCCAACCACCGTGCTAGGTGCTCGGACACCGAGTAAGACCTGGGCCTTGCCCTTAAGGAACTCACAGATGAGCCGCTCTGCAATCTCCCTGAGCCTCAAGCTGAACCTCCCAGGCTAATTTCTATGGCATTTTCACCTCCTCGGAGGTGTCTTCTTCAACCACTGGCTCCCTCTGCCTCCCCCACCCCTGCCCCACTCAGTGTTTGAACTACTTATGGGCAGAACTTATGGCTCACTCATCATCATATCCAGGGATCTAATGCAGCTTCTGGCTCTATAAATGTTTGTTGAATGAAAGAATGATGAAATCAATGAAAAAGTAATTTAGGATAGAAATTAATACCTACCCAAGACAGCTTACATAGTAAGTAGAACCATATGAAAGTGCCATATTCTTGACTGTCTTGACCTATAAAAACAGCAATTTCATATGGTTCAACTTGATCTATCTACAGAGAAGAATATGAGCTGTGTCTTGGGCTTCGAATGGGATGTGGAGAGTATCTACCTTGAAATTCCATCCTAGAGGCCTTCTTTCCCAAAGCCAAGAAGACCCTGCCATGAGTTGGATGCATCTATATGCCAGCCCCAGCATACACGTTAGAGGAAATGTTAAACCCACCCCCAGGGTCCTGTTTAGGCTGCCCCTGCCTCCCACTTCTTAGGTTTACCTGATGGCTGTTCTCTGACTGATCCCCCGGGCTTTCTTCAGAGTCCTGGGTAAAAGGGGTGAAAGGCTTCCAGCCGAAGTCACTTCTTTTCCTGGATCTTTTGCCAAAATGTCCCCCTTGAAAGTCTCTCACTGTCCTTGGAGACCTCACTAGGGATCGGGAATTGCCACTGGTGTCCAGCTGCTGGTCCCCTGAGAGCAGCATGACAGGAGGGATGTAGCACAAAGATGGGGGACCCAGAGCTAAAGGCACAAACTCTCTTGAAGTCACCCACAAAGACCTGTGCTCCTCCTGCTCCCTCTGGATCAGCTGAATCTTATCAATTTTCTGCTGGGTAGTCCTCAGCAAATCGGCGTTCTGGTGCATTAATGTCTGTGCAATCTTTAGGTTCAACACACACTTACTGATGTACTCCTCAGTCATGGACCTGTTGCTCACATTGCCCTTGGCTTCTCTGGTAGGCTCATGTATGTTGGGTGAACTAAGTGAACCATTTTCCCAGTCCCAGTCCTCAAAGGAGAGCTCTGTCTCAGCTTCCAAAGAGCTATCGTCCTCATCGCAAAGACAGCATGCCTCTTTCTCCATCTTGTCCAACTCTTCTTCCATGGACTGCAGGTCATCTACCTGGGTTGGTCTCTCCTCCTCAAGAGATGAAACAGAGCCCGGGGGCTCCTCCTCTTTGTTATCTCCCACATCCAAGCAGCCTGAGTAAATTTCATTGATTTCAAAGCTGTAGAGGCTCGCCTGACCTGCGCTAGGGCTCCTGGCCTCTTCCGCCACAGAAAACACAGGAGAAGCAGCACCTTCGTTCTGAGTCTCCCTGGACACCAGACTTGGATCTGGGGCCTGAGCATCTAGTGCTGCTTTCTCAGTGGGAGAAGAGTAACCCCTTGGTGAACGAAGCTGACTGCCTGTTGAAAGAATCAATAGTAGGGTTTCTTTAGAAGAGCAACATGCAGCTGGTTAAAGTGGTCACATGCAGCAGCTAAGCAGCCTTGGCTTGTTGCCTGAGTTGCACGAGAACGCAGAAAGAAGCATTTTACAATCCCTCTCCCTTCCCAGGTGCAGAAGACTGCCGGATACCTCCACGGGAGAGAGGGTATTTCTTAACCTAGGCAAAAGTTCCCCGATTGAACAAAGTTTTTAGGGGTTGAAATCCTAGGGGAGGTGTGCTAAGCTTCATCTGTAGTGTGTTCAAAATATGCATAACTGTCAGGACATGCAAGCTACCGGCCCTTGAACCTAATGACCACATCCATAGCTTTCTTTATACACACAAGAGTCTGACTGTTTGTGCCAGTTAAAGTTATGCTTTTGGTGAGCATCTGATAAATAAGCCAAGAGACTGCCCAGGAAGCATCATGTGAGGAATAATACCTCAAAAAATAATGCCAGGAGTGACCACCCACCACCCCTGGTTGATGAGTGTATGGCTTGTACAGAACGGGATGAAGGAGCCAAAGTAATGAGAGCTTGGGGGGCTCCTCTTTAAGCCTCCAGCCCCGTCAAAAGGAGGGTCAGAACTGAACGGTCAGAAGGCCTAGGTACCAGCAATCCAACAAGCTCTGCAACCCTGAGTAGGCCACAACCTCTCTGAACCTTGGTTTTCATATCTGTAATATGAATGCATTAAGCTGGATGACTGCAAGGTCCTTTCCAGCTCTAAATTCTAAGGTTTCCAAATGCACTTAAAAGCAGTAAGGCTGTAGAAAAAAGATTAGAAGGAAATACCAAACTGTTAATGAATTATTTTAAGTGGCAAAATTAAAGTGTTAAGTAATTTTCTTCGGTGTACTGTTCCAAATTTTCTACTGTGAGCAGATAATTGTTTTACATTTTTAAAAGCATCATTTTTAAGATAAATTCCTAAAAGTAATGATGCTAGGAATAAACTGGTTGTTATTGCTTAGCTCTGAACCCAAGCAGGGAGTGTATGAGCCCAGAATGTTTAACTTAATGATTTTAAGGATCTTGACTTTTTCCTAAGGCATCCATCTTCTCCTGGCATAAGTTACGGCTACAGTTTGGGAAATCTCATTAGTTGGCAGCTCACGTGATTCTCAGAACACATTCATGTCAAAGCGATGCTTAACCTGTGGGCTAAGGCCATACCGGTTTCTTTCAGCTCTTTTATTTCCAAGTTGGGGGGCTCTTTTGGGTGCTCTGAAGTCAATCCCAGATAGACGTTGACATCAGGATGGGGTTCATATCTCTGTACTCTGGGGCCCTCGGCTGGCTGAGTTCTCTGGGTGCCCATAAAATCCTGTAAGACAGAAACACTATCAAGGATATATTTGCGGTCATCTGAGTGTCACTGATGTTTTTAGAAAGAGATCCAGGTATCAGATAAACCCCCTCTTACTCCTGTAAGGTAGACAAGACACACTGGTTGTAATTCTCATTAGGCAATTCATTGTTATTACAAATATTTTTCAAATACTAATGATAGGTGCCATTCATTTGACCTTCACTATGTGCCACAGTGTGCCCCTACAATGCACTGAGCCTCCCAGCTCCCCCTCCTATATTCCCTGCTGCCCTCACGAAGCTAAGCAATTAGGCTTTTCTCAGGAACACAGAAAGGATGTAACAGAATGGGGATGTTCCAAAACTTCTTACACCTGTGGTCCTTGCTCTCTAGCTCCTGACTCCCCTGAGACAGGTAAACAGAAATAAACACACAAATGACTTCAGGGCTTACCTTTAAGTCATTCTTCAGAATATACTGGATATCCTGAAGGTTCATAGTTCGGTCTTTCTGCTTGACCTGGATGCCTGACTTAACAATATCATAGTAAGGTTTCGGAAGCCTGACATCAGCTTCTAAATAATTTCCCAAGACTACAGCTTCTTTAATAACTGAGCCATCTAAGCCATTCCAGGGTATGTTGTCTGTACGAAAAAAGTCACAGAAAGGAGTAACATTAAGAAATCAAATGATTCTAGCAATATATCCTAGAGAAATAAGAGCCGTCACACGAATAGACATATGCACACCCATGTTCACTGCAGCATTATTCACAATAGCAAAAAGATGGAAGCAACCTAAGTGCCCAGCAACAGACGAATGGATAAACAAACTATGGTACATACACACTATGCAATGATAAAGAACAATGATGAATCCGTGAAATATCTCACAACATGGATGAATCCGGAGGGCATTATGCTAAGTGAAATAAGTCAATCACATTAGGACAAATACGGCATGAGACCACTATTATGAAAACCCAGAAAAAAGGTTTACACCCTGTCTTAGTCATCTAGTGCTGCTATAACAGAAATACCAAAAGTGGATGGCTTTAACAAAGACAAATTTATTCTCTCACTGTCTAGTAGGCTACAAGTCCAAACTCAGGGCATCAGCACCAGGAGAAGGCTTTCTGTCTCTGTCAGCTCTGAAGGAAAGTCCTTGTCATCGATCCTCCCTAGGTCTGGGAGCATCTCAGCGCAGGAACCTCAGGTCCAAAGGACACGCTCTACTCCCGGTGCTGCTTTCTTGGTGGTATGATGTCCCCCATCCCTCTACTTGCTTCTCTCTTTTATATCTCAAAAGATATCAGCTTAAGACGCTATCTAATCTTGTAGACCTCATCAATATAACTGCCACTAATCCATCTTATCACCTCATAGCGACAGAATTTACAACAACAGGGAAATCACATCAAATGAAAAAATGGTAGATAATCATACAATACTGGGAATCATAACCTAGCCAAGTCGACAAATATTTTTGGGGGAGACAATTTAATCCATGACACACACAGAAAGAAAATCTTTGATGGTTACAAGGAAAGGGAGTGGTGGGAAAGAGAAATCACTAACGAGATATTAGATTAAGTAGTAACTTTGGTGAAGAGAAAGACAGCACAACATGACCAAGGCAAAGTCATAGAAACTTCATAGACACATCCAAATACCCTGATGGACCAAGTTACTGGGCTGAGGACTGGGAACCATGGTCTTGGGGGACCATCTAGGTCAACTGGCATATGAATTGGAAGTTCATAAAGAAAATGGTCTACATTTGACTTTGGTGAGTAGTGTCTGAGGACTTAAAAGCTTGTGAGCAGCCATCTAAAATACATCTACTGGTCCCATCTTGTCTGGAGCAAAGGAGAATGAAGAAAATCAAAGATGCAAGGGAAATGTTAGACCAAAGGACTAATGGACCATAAGTACTAGGGCCTCCACCAGCCTAAGCCCAGAACAACTAGATGGTGCCCAACTAGCACCACCTACCACTCTGACAGGAATCAAAATAGAGGTTCCCAGACAGAGCGGGAGAAAAATGTAGAACAAAATTCAAATTCACAAAAGAAGACCAGACTTACTGGTCTGACAGACTGGAGGAACCCTGAGACTGTGGTCCCCGACACCCTTTTAACTCAGAACCGAAGTCACTGCCAAAGTTCACTCTTCAGCCAACAATTACACAGGTCTATAAAACAAACAATAACCCACGTGAGGAACATGCTTCTTAGCTCAATCATGTAAATGAGACCAAATGGGCAATACCTGTCCCAAAGCAGACAAGAAGGCTGGAAGTGGCTGAAAACAGGAAGGCCAGGTAGAGAAGGGGAGAGGATTGACACATAGTGGGGATTGCAACCGATATCACAAAACAATTTGTGTATAAATTGTTGAATGAGAAACTAATTTGCTCTGCAAACTTTCACCTAAAGCACAATAAAAAAAAGAAATCGAATGAAGCTGGGTAATCTTAGTCAAGTCACTCCTTTAAACATTAGTTTCTCCCAGTAGAGAAACTACCTGCGGAGCTCAATTACACCTGAGAAGCCACTTTACCTATTTACCAGGGAGATCCCTGCCTCAGAAACAGGAAATGTCAGCATCATGTACACATGGAATCCCCACTGGCCGACATGCAGACCAGAAGGGAATCTGGTGTCTGCCTTGAGGATTGTGCTCTTTTAAAGAACTATCTACAGGAGATCAAACTGACAACAGCCAACACCAAAGGTCAGACAGGAAGCTCAGCGGGTTGTGAGTTTATGTTAATGGGGGAGGAACAACTCAGAAAAGGAGGGTGAGAATATTTGTGCAACTTGAAGAATGTAATCAATGTCACCGAATTGTTCATGTAGAAATTACTGAATGGGTGTATGGTCTGCTGTGTATATTTTCAACAACAACAAAAAATAAGTAAGAAATTATTTTAAAAAAAGAAGAAGAAGGGACTCTGTGGTAAAGTAAATGCTTCAAGGTATCAGACTGGGTAGCCCGAAGTGTCCATCTCACGGAAGGCGCGGTTTTGCCTCTAGGATTGTAAAAACTGCTAAGGAAAGCTGACTCTCCCTCAACCCCACCTTCCACCCCTCACCTCCCTCACAACTCCCCCCCATCCCCCCTCCCCATGAGTGTGCTCCTACTGTTTTATGTGTGTGTGTGCACCCACATGCTTCCAGCACTGACATCCCTGGCTTCAGATAGGTGACTGCTTTCTTCACACGGGAGTCCTTAGGTTTAGAGGGCCTCCATTTCTTCAAGGGACACTGCTTATGCATACACTGGACCCTAGGTATGTTTGATTTCATAGTTCACGTCTCAGAGGTCAGTCTTATCCCCTCGTTTACAAGTTCTTAAGAGGCCACCTCAGTTTTAAAACTTTGCTTTGGATTAAATGCATTATCACTGACAAGCCAACGGGTGGGTTTTGCTGGGTCTTAAAGAACAGGTTAAAACAGAAAGATTTCTGCAAGATCATTTTATGTCTTCCTCATAAGCACAAAGAACTTTCCCTGAAGAAATGCCTTTTTTCTAAGTCCTGCATTTTCATAAAACTAAGTAACTCCTGGGGGAAAAAAATCCAACCTGAGAACAGGGACTTTGGTCAACCATTTATGCGCTACTTGACGTTACCTGTTAAAATCTCCTGCACGATCATAGAAAAGCTGTAGATGTCCGACTTCACCGAGACAGCCTTCTGTAAGATCACCTCTGGGGCGGCCCAATTGTACAGCTGGGTCGGGAGGGGTACTTGAGTCAGGTCTTTGTGTGCACCTCCATCCTGGCTACAGAAGAAAACACACAAAGCAGGGCTCATGTCTTAAACGATTGCTGTGATCACTACGCAGTGTATTTGTGAAATATTTGCCTCTGAAGACTGGCTGGCAACCTCCTTGAGCTTTTGGAGACCTAGTTAGACTCTGAGCTAACCCACACTGTCTCTGGGATGTTCCAAAACCTGCAATCGCTTACCATTCCTACCTGACCTGGCCCTGCCTACCCTCCCATCTTATCTAGCCATTGGCCCCTGCTCACCCACTCCACTCAAATCCCAGAAGGCTTCTTTCAGTTTCACCAACATGCCAAGCACATTACCACTTCCAGCCTTTGTACTGGTGACTTCCTCTGCCTGGCATGCTCTGATCACAGATCCTGGAATAAGTGACTCCGTCTTATGGCGGGTATTAGCTCAAAAGACACCTCCTCAGAGAGGCCTTCCTTGACCACCTAATCTGAAGGAGATCTGTTTTATTGACTTCAGAGCACTTATTATCTGTATTTTTTATTCATTTATTTATTATTATCCATCTCCACCCCAGTAGATAATCAGCTCCATGAGAGTAGGCCCTTTACCTGTCTTTTATACCACTGCATCCTGAGCTTGCAACAGGGCCTCAATACTTACTGCGAAGTAAATGAATGTAAGACTCTTCCAAGACATCTAAGATACAACTATTGGTCTCTACTCGTCCAGAGCAAAAGAGAAAGAAGCAAACCAAAGATTCAAAGAAGAAACTAGTCTACAGGACAAACAGTCTATACGAACCATGGCCTTATCTACCCTGAGACCAGAACTAGATGGTACCCAGCTACCACTATCGACCATTCTAATCAGGGCCGCAATAGGTAGACCCTGATAGAATGGGAGAAAAAATGTGGAACAGAACTGCAAATTTCTTTAAAAAAAAAAAAAAAGACCTACTGGACTGGTTGAGACTGGAGGACTCCCCAAGACTATTGCCCAGAGATACTCTTCAAACCTTGAACCAAAACTAACCCGAGGTTCACCTTGTAGCTAAATAACAAAAAATAATGAGTATCACCCATAAGTATTATGCTCCTTTAAAAAATCACCTATACGAGACCAAACGATCAACAATTACTTTAAGACAAAGATAAGAATGTAAAGGGGCAGCGAAACTAGATTAATGGAAATGGAACAACCAAAATGGAAATAATGAGGATGTTCACACATTGTGAAGAATGTAACCAGTGTCACTGAACAACTTGTGTAGAAATTATTGAATGGGAACCTAACCTGCTGTGTAAACCTTCATAGAAAACACAACAAAATATTATTTTAAAAAACTCTTCCAAGACCCTGCTGCTCAAGCCCTAACTGCTTTATCAAAGCCTTCTGGGGCCTCCAACTCCTCCTGATGGCTTATTTTCTGAACTGCTATCCTGTTGAGAACAGGCCCTCTCAGTCCAGCACTCAAAAGGTCACATTGATTTGCATGAATAACTCAACTTCCCAACCAGACTCCTTCACAGCTAAGTCAGAGCATCCTAAATATCTTCCGGGCCAATAAGAGTCCACGGGGTGAGGTCTGCACTGACTTCCACCCACAGCTGTCAGGAGCATCACTTGAGATCACGGATGTAGAAACACTCTGTGAGCCATGAAGCATGGTGCCAAGTAAGAAACTGATATGAACATTATGGTAAGCACGCAGTAAGTCTTGATGAATAGCTGGTTGATAAGAATTACATTTTTAAAACAGCAAGTGACAAGAAGTTCTTTGTTGATCTGGCTTAAAGGTAGATTTCTGAGGATGGCATAGTTATAAAAGCTGGTACTGACGTTTTAGTTGTATTGCTAAAGGGCAAGGCACTTATAACCAGGACTTACATCCTTTCTCTCTCACTTCCTCTCACCTTCCTTCTTTACAATCCCTCCTTCCTTCTCTGTTAAAGCTAGCTGGGGGCTGGGGGGTCCTTTCTTTCTGGCTGTCACTCTAGGGCTGATACTTTTCTAGGCTTCAGCTTTAACATCATTAAAATTACATTGGCTGCAGCTACATGACATCACCTCCAAGGTCAATTCCAAATCTAAAGATTCCATTAAGGAATCGAAGAGTAGGAAAAACTGCTGTATCTCTTTTACACCAAGAGATGGAGCACTACCCTTGACACTGACACTGAACAAACTGACCTGCCCAACTAGAGTGTTACCAAAAATAAACGTGGAATTGAAAGCCATTTTGGATTCTTGGATAATCAGCTGGTGTTACCAGCTTTCAATGAAGGGCACACTGTTATGGCTGCAGCTGCTTGCTGACTGATATTTCCACCTGAAGCTCCATTCTGAGGTCAACAAGCCCAGACGAGAACTCACAGCTTCCCACCACACTCAGCCCCTCCGGACCTCCTGCTGGCGCTCATGGACCCCCTCACTTGACCAGTCTGTCAACCCCAGATGCATAGTGCATCTCATACCTTCCCCTTCCATTCTGGTTCCCTGGTCACCACCAGGCCCCACTGTGTGGCCTCCTAGCTGGTCCCCCTCCCTCAACATCCAATTCATCTTGCTCCTGTAACAAACAGGCATCATCTATCACCTGGTTCTAGCCCCAGATCTGCCTCTAACCAGCCAGCTGGCTGACTTCAGAACCTCTCTTCACTCTCTGGGCCTCAGTTTCCTCATCTATAAAAGAACAGGGTTGGGCGAGGCCATCTCCAAAGTGCCAGTTCACTCCAGGATTCATATTTCTATTAAAGAACGAAAGCAGAAGAAACTGTTATACCTCCATTTTAACAACAGATGGCGCTCCATCACTGACAGACAGTATGCAGTCTGTCCCAAACCAAAAAACCCCTTGTCGTCGAGTGGATTACAACTTGTAGTAACCCTATGGGACAGAGTAGAACTGCCCCGTAGGGTTTCCAAGGAGCGGCTGGTGGATCTGAATTGCCAACCTCTTGGTTAGCAACTGAACACTTAACTACCGGGCCAACAGAGCTCCGGAGTCTGTCCCAGTCTTCCGAAAAGACTCTTGTGTCTTGTTACAAACAGCAAAAAAGTCCAAACCCTTTAGCATCCTGCTCCTGATGGCGAGGCAGCGCAGTGGGGATCCATCCTCCACTGCCCAGAGCCTAATGCAGGAAATGCGGGATCAGCCCCTAACTCTCAGAAGGACGCTGACTTCCAGGGAGACCCTCTTTGGAAGTCAGGCTAGAGGTTCCGCTTACCTTTCCATCATGTACTCCAGGTTGGTCAGCCTTGCTTCCCCCGTGGAGACGATGTGGACAGCATAGGAGCTGAGGGAGCGGTGGACAAACCCCCGGGAGTGCAGGTATTTCAGAGCGTCGGAGATCTGGAGCAGCAGCTGCACAATCACCTCCATGTGCAGCACAGGGAACTGGGACCGCTGCAAGCGAGACAACCAAGGACAAACGGACCAGGCCCCCGACACTGGAGAACACTTTGTAATTTCCAAAGTCATTTCATTTTGATCCTCACAATTACCTAGTAACCCCATTTTACAGATGGGGAACCTAAAGCTCAGTGGGCCACTGGACCCAGGATCCCGGGATCCTGGGCTCCGTCCCCTGGGCTACGTTGCCTCACACCTCAAAAAGTGAGGAGAGAGTTCTCAAAGCATGTGCACCCAGGGCCAACCTGGGGCAAACTGGTGGGGAAAACCAGGTTTGAGCCTTCCCCACTCACCAATAAACCCACCCAGCCAGTTAGCTAGAAATGGGTCTGTGCTTTCTGGTCTGTTGAGCTCTGAAATGTCTGATAAAGTAGCAAGACTGACAATAATAAAATCACACTCGTTCTGACTGTGTGCCTGTAAGCCTTAAACAGTGCATGATAGACCCTTGTGCAAGTAAAGAGGTAAGAGATTTCTCTTCCAGGCACGCACAAATGGGAACTCTACAGTTGAGGCAGAGGGAAGTGGGGAGGGCAGCAATCCCGAAGGCAGCCACCTACCCTTTCGTGGAGGACACTGAACAGAGTGCCGACGGAGATGCGCTCATACACGAGGCGGGTTGTCTCCAGGTCCTGGGACAGGCACACAGCCATCAGCTGCAGGAGGTGGGGGTGCCGCAGCTTGCTGCAAGAGAGAAGCAGCTTCAGATGGGCAGGGGGAAGCAGGACAGGATGAAAAGATGGGTGTTGTCCTGTCTTCTAGCCCCTTTGAACAAATTCTAAACAAATCCCTTTCACCCGTACTGTTTTTCAAAGAAAACAGGGTAGGGGATGAGGAGTCGGGGGTGGGAGGGTCTCTGTTGTGGAATGTGTGGCCTCTCGCTGATCAGACCTCAATGACTTAAGAGTCATCAAGGACTACAAGGACAATGTCACTAAGAGCTACTGAGCAAGATACTTTGTATATAACATGTCAAATCCTAACAACCACCTGCAAGAAACGTTATCACACTTATTTTAGAGAGGAGGAAGCCAAGGCTAGGGAAGACAGCAGGAACTTGCCCCAAGTTCCCCACCCCATTCAGTCTCATGTCAAAGCCCACACTGTTATACGCATCCAATCAGCTTCCTTGGGTTCTGTTTAGGCTGATTTCCCCAAAAGGAAGGATTCAACCTATCAAGAACCTGGGCCCATTCCAAGGCCTCTGTGGCACTGGTGTGAAACCATGAATTGAGATCCTGGCCCAGCAAGAGCTGAAGGACCCAACCCTGGAGCCCCAGGAAACCTAAAGTACTGAGGCCCGTGGGCGTGTCCACCACAGTGGAGGAGACACCGAGATTGCATGCACAGCCTTGCTCTGTGCAAACAGGCAGCCACATGCTGTCCTAAATGGGCCAAGGCAGAGACTGGGGCAGGCCTCAGGGGCTGTAGCAGGAGAGTCAGAATGCGCCAGGCTGCCTGGACCACCCAGAGCCAAGGATTATGGGAAGTCAGTTAGCTTACAGCACTGAGCCCCTCACCAACACCACCCCCTTTCCTGGAGCTATCCATTAATTCCTCTTTCTCTTTCTAGGCAGCCCTTGGAAGTCAAGTCAGCTGATTCCACCAGTCAGGAAATGCGAGGCTGAAGGAGGCTGGTGCTCCACGTCCCAGGCAGCCCTGGCAGTCTTGAACCTACATCTGTAAGGAGACCTGGGCCTGTCATGGCCTGGCCCCGGCCTCCAGCATCTCCTCACCTGCTGTGCTCCTGCTCAGCAATTAGCAGGTCAGCCAGCCACAGCCTGCTGCAGTGCGCGTGGGTGGGGAGATTCAGCTCCTTCACTGTGACTCTGCTCCCATTCCACACGAGGCTACAGGGCAGTGAGGACGGTGGGGGGTCGGGGGGAGGGAGAGAAGGAAGATATGGTGTTTCTGCAGAATCTCTGAATTCCTGTGGGCACTGTTGAGCCCTCCCCCTCCCCCAGGTACTAAAGCATCCCCGGGGAACTTAGATGCAGGTGACTGGAAGCCACTGAAAGATTTAAGGCGGGGAGTGATCTGATCAGGTTTGAATTTTAGAAAGACAATGGTACCACTAGTATGGGTAGGATGGGGCCCAGAAAATGAAAGACCAGTTAAGAAGCCAGTCTGGGTGAGGGGTGGTGAGGACCTGGGCAAAGGCAACAGCAGTGGGACAGACAGAAGGGGGCCTGATGACAAATCTGTGGCATGGGCAGGAAAACAAGAAGTGTATCTGCAGGGAACAGAAGGCCTCAAGAGTCTGGCAGAGGCCTTTTCTTGGCTACAGCTTTAGAAGGATGTTTCCTCTAAGCAGGGAAGACGACTCCAGGTTCAAGGAGGCTAAGAGATCTTGACCAGCACAACTCCCATGGCCCTGTAGGGGCTGGGCCTTGAGACTGAGGACACCCCAGGGAGTTCTGTCACAGCCAACTGCTGCCACTGCTGCCTCTGCTGGATTTGGCTGGTGAGAGGTGCAGCTGATGTCTATTTCGGCTGCTACAAGGGACTCAATACCTGTATTAGAGTCAAGACTTTAAGCTGCCTCTAATTCTGTAACAAGCAGAGAGGCTAAATACTGTACTGAGTAATCTTTCAGAGAAGTAGTTCTCAGCTGGGGGTGTTCTGACCCCAGAAAACACTTGGCAGTGTGTGGAGACATTTCTGGTTGTCACACCTGGGGGTGAGGGTTGCTACTGGCATCTGGTGGTTAGAGGCTGAGGATGCTGCTAAACATCCTGCAAAGCACAGGACAGCCTCTCACAACAAAGAAATATCCAGTTCAAGACGTCAACAGTGTCAAGGCTGAGAAACCCCAATCTAGACATGTTTTTAAGTGTTTCCTTGTATTTGGAAAGAAGCCCTCCACATGGAAGGAAGCCACAGCAGCCCCTCCTCCTGTGTGACCAGACCAGGCCTCAACCGGCCAGCTCTGCTTACTTGGTCATGACCATGTAGGGGCCACTGAAGAAGGAGAAGGTGGGCTCATCGTCAGCCTGAATCACTTCTTTTTCTCCAATTACCGGAAGAGAGCCTAGATAGGCCAGCTGCTTCCTTCCTGTGAGACAAAACTGAAACCAAAGCATAGCCTCAAATTGTGGGGAGAGAAGAGGAAAAGCAAAATACCTCCAGAATCTTATCAGCCAGCTAAAAATAACAAGAGTGCTATTTACCAACTTACTGAATACCCCTAGGCACTAGATACTATTCTTTAATTTATATTATCTTTAAACTTCTGAGAAGCCCTGCAAGGCTATAATACTCTTTCCCTTTTACTGAGGAGGAAACTGAGGCTCAGGAGGCCAGATACCTGCCTGAGGTGCCATGGCTGGGACTGAGGGGACTGAGTACAACCAATGCCCACGTTCCTTCTACACTCCCCCACTGCTGCCGCCCTGGCTGCCTCTACACCAACAGAGACTCAGGAATGGGGGCTGAGCTGTCAGCTAACCTCACTCACCACCCAGTGACAGCCTCTCTCTGCGATGAACAAAACCAAGGATCCACAAAGCACCATTTGCCCTCAAAACAATTCTCAGTTTACCCCTAGACACCCTTTTAGCTCAGTGGTGAAGTCACTCCCGAGGTTCACCGTTCAGCCGGGGATTGGACAGCCCCATAAAACAAAATGGGACTAATGAGGGACAGCAGTCCAGGGACAAGGATTAGAAGGCAGAAGTGGACAGGAAAGCTGGTGATAGGGAACCCAAGGTTGAGAAATGCCAGTGCTGACATGTAGTGGGGTTACTGAACATTGTCATAGAGCAACATGTATACTGTTTAATGAGAAAATATTTTATTCTGTAAACCTTCATCTAAAGTGAGAATAGCAGCACAACTGAAGAACGTAATCAACGTCACTCAATTGTACATGTAGAAATTTTTGAAATGGTGTATCTTTGGCTACGTATATTTTCACCAAAAAAAAAAAAGGTCCTCCAAGGCCGAGAAGGGAGTATGTCGACATGTCGTGGGGTTGTTAACCAATGTCATAAAACAATATGTGTACTGACTGTTTAATGAGAAAATATTTGTTCTGTAAACCTTCACCTAAAGTACAATAAAAAAAATAAAAAATAATAAAACAAAATTCTCAGTTTAAATACTTGGTTCCTTAAAAGCATTTTAACAATGCTCATAGCCTGTGGGAGGGCAAGGTAGGTCAGGAAACGGATCATGAGGTCGGCGCAGCCCTCTGCCTCTCTCTTAGGGAAAAGGATGTCTGGGGCCTTCACTGAGAACTAAAGGATCATTTTCTACAACCCCCAAATCTAGCCCAGGCCATTCAAGGGATTCCTCCAGGATTTTCACCATTTTTTAGTAAAGACAGGAACGCTAGGGATACTTTTCCTCAAAAGGGACAAAGAAAAAAAACTCGCTACAGTAAGTATAAGGAGGGAAAAGTTGGACAAAGGTGGGGATAGGGCCAGGTCCAGGTTGATTGTCCAATCGGCCTGGTAACACGAACCATCAGTGACAACCTCTTACCTTCCCAAAGCCGAAGCTGTAGATATTTGGGGCAGAAACAACCCCAGCTTTAAGCAGTCGATTAGGAGAGCCAGTAGGGTTTCTAGAAATATTTTAAAGAGGGGAAAAAAGGTAAGGATTAACTTAACCTTCATAACCAAAGGAACAATGCTGAACCAAGTTTTCAGAATGTTTAATTAATTTCGTATTTACTACTTAACTTCTTATCACGGAACTATATACAGATAGATGGGGTCTGTCAGTTTGTCATACCATAATGGCTTGTGTGTAGCTGTAATGCTGCAAGCTATGCCACCAGTATTTCAAATATCAACAGGGTCACCCATGGTAGACAGGTTTCAGAAAAGCTTCCAGACTAAGACTAGGAAGAGAGGCCTGGCAATCTACTTCTGAAAAATTAGCCAATGAAAACCCTATGGATAACAACAGAATACTGTCTGAATTAGTGTTAGAAGATGAGTCCTCTAGATTGGAAGGCACTCAAAATACACAGTGGCTGCAAAAATGGACTCGAGCATACCAGTGATCTTGGAGGTAGTGCAGGACCCGCCAACGTTTGGTTCTGTTGTACAGGGGGTCTCCATGAGTCACAGCCAACTCAATAGCAATTAACAACATATATGGGGTAATAGGCCAGCCTCTCGGGGTAGGGGAGCAATGATTCTCATCCCCTGGTATTCATGCCCTTACGTAGCCCCTCCCACACTAGAAAGGGGTGAACCCTATGAACCCAATAGGATGCTGCCGAAATGATGGAGTGTGATTTTTGAGGCTACGTCCATTACAGCTTTTGCCCCAATCTCTCTCAGATCACTTGCTTCAGGAGAGCCAGCTGCTGACTTGAGGTCACAGAGAAGCAGCAGGGACTAGACCCTGATGCTTCTTATGCCGGTTACCGCTCTTCCCACATACCACACTCAAACCACCAACTGCACACTGGGAGCCACAGTAACTAAAGGTACCTTGAAATGAGTGTTATGCCTTATATTTCTTTGGCTCCCAGCACCTAGCACAGCACGTAGGAGGTGCTCAGTTAGTGCTTGCTGATGGAGTAGTTTCAGCTCAGACTGAAAGAAAAAACTGCTGCTGCCAGAGCCACTTTCTCTTCCTTGGCAAATGGCAAAGGAGCTGCAGTGACAGTACGTACCAGCCCCACCCAAACCAGCCTGTGAAACTCAGGTTCCCAGTGTTCATCAAGAGATGTGAACACTTCGCTTCTGCTTTTGGGACATCTGTCTCCTTGGCAACTCGTTGGTGCCCGGCTGTCAGTGCTGCACTGTTTAAGTGAAGGTTCCCAGTCTGGACTGAGGTAGGGGAACCGGATGTCCTAGTTTACACCTGGCGTCCAGCATCATATTGACAGCATCCCCTGCACTCTCAAAACTGCCCAGTGTAGAGGCTAAGTGGACCAACTACAAGAGAAAGGCTCATTTTTACACCAAATCCTCAATGTCCTCTAGAAACAAGGCCTAACGCTCAGGCCTCAAAGAGACAGGAGACAGCGGACCGTTTCCTGCCCAGGGGAGCAGACTTTGAGCTGGGAGTCGGGGAGGGACCCTGGCAGCAGTGGAACAGGGGCTACCACTGACAAGGGGCCCCCTCGGCAGTGTGTGTGAGGCCCTTGCGGGGCGGAGGTTCAGTTTAAGCAAAGGAGCCAGCTGTTCTCCACAGTGACCTGGACAACACCTGCAGCTCAGACCAACATCTCTTGCTCTCTTCCCGAAGCTTCTCAGTCCATGCCTACGTAACTGAACTCCTCTGGGTGGAAGGGAGGAAAAATGAATGGCTAGTTAACTACAACCTAAGAGCACCAGTTCTCTGAATTCAGTGCTTTTATTATTTTCTTTTCCCCAACCAGGCTCTGTGTAAACACACATCTGTAAAGAATCTTATCTGACATGTTGCCACTTGAGGTCTCAAAGGCCAATTCTCATTTCAAGGGCAGGGTGCTTCTATCTTCTTTTCCGTTCAGCATTGTGTGGTCCAACCCCTCAGTAAGAATAATGTTTCAACCAGTTCTAAAACAGACATCACACCTAGATGAGTAACTAAAATATTAAGAGTTCATCAGCGCTTAGATCTGGGTTTTCCTTCTAGCTGGCCCACGTATCTACTCTCCTCCTATGAGTTTCCACCACCCACCAGGCAGCTGAGGTGGGAGCGGTGGGTGAGGCTGGACCAGGCAGGGTCTCCAAGACCAAATGCAGGATTCCAGAGTTCATCCTAACAGCCGTGGGGAAGGCCCTCCAGAGTTTTTGGCAAACAGTGGTAGGCCCTGATTTCTATTTTTAAAAGGTTGCTCCAATGCTCGTGGAGAAGCCAGCAGGGCAGGAGAAACAGCAGGGAAGCAGTTAAGAGTGACTACCCCAGTTAAGAGGGACTACCCCAGGGAATCATTAACACATCTCCCCGAAAGCCAGCAACATCCAGGACATCGAGGAAAACCAGGACTCAGTATGCACGGAAGGACAGGACTAGCAGCCAAGTGAGGGTGAGAGGAACCTGTGACAGTGTGACAAGTCCGACCACCATGATTACAGAAACTGGGCTATTAGAGAAAATAAAAATGTAAAGGATTCTCCGCATACCAACCGCAAGAGTTTAAAATAACCGCCCCCTCGCCACACCGTCAAGTTTTGCCCTGAGCATGGAGAGAATCTTGAGGCCCACTGCCTACAGCTGTGATGGCTCGGGGGGCTAGCAGGGAATACCTTACACCAGCTTAAAACAGCCTGAGGAACCATAAATTGAGCTTTTGTGGCCTTCTGCAACTACAGTAAGAAAGGAACACCTCCCCCAGTTTGAACTTGGAACTGGCACTCAGTCAAATGAGAGCTGCCCCTACACCGTCTGTCGGCAGCTCTTCGCCACTTGTTTAGTTTTTTGGGCAATGACAAGAAAGCCAGCTGGCTGCCTGGCTCCTCCTCTGCTAACTTTGGGGAAGTACCCACCCTCGTCTTCCCAGACCTTCTCAGGGGCTGGTGGGGAGACAGCCAAAGGCGATCCACTGGCCCTCCTTCACCAGGGACCATATCCTCCATCAGCCAGATGCTGGCAGGGACCCACGAGAAAGGCTGGGTGATGCAGAAACCCCACTCTCCTCAAGGCAGCACTCACCCCTGCATGAGGCTCCCAAACCGGGGGGGGCTGCCGACGAACCGCTGAGGGGAGTCGATCTTCCTCAGAAGGTCATAGGAGAAGCCCTGGATGATGGCCTGCATGTGCACGGCACAGCGCTGCATGAACTCCACCATCTGCAACACATCAGAGCCACTCTGTGCTGGCCACTACACCTGGCACTAAGTCTTCAATGGCACCCAGCCTTCAATGGCACCCAGCCTTCACTGGCAACGGAGGAGGCTTGGGTGTGAAGGTGAATAGTCTGAGGAGCCGGGACCCTGACAGGGAAATCTTTGGGAAAGGAGTGACCCAGGTGATTTTCTAAAGGCATGAAATGATTTGGGAGAGAGGATTTGGCGACCATTTCCTCCAACTCCATCCTTTGACAGATGAGGAAACTGGGGTTGAGAGGGGAGGAGTGAAGTGACTTGTCCAAAGCCCGACAGCTAATGAGCAGGAGAACCAGAGGAAGGGAAGGGACTCTGCCCTCCTCCGCTCTCCCCCTGCACCCAGCACCGTGCAGACCCTTTGCACCTTACATTTGTTATTTACTCCTCATGATGACATGTCACACTTGCTGGTCTGTGGCCTCAGGCAAGTCACTTAATGTTTCTGGGCCTCAGTTTCCCTATCTGCGAAGTAGTACCTACCTGAGACGGTTGCTGAGAGAATTAAATGAGTTAATATATAAAGAGCATTTAGGACAACATCTGGCGCATGGTAATGCTAGTTAAGGGTCAGACAAAGCGACAGTTCTCCCTCCATGTTGAACAGATAACTTGAATGCTCACAAGACTTGCCCAGGGCTTTACAGCTGGTTAACCGGATTCCATCCAGGCCTGTGTGTCCAACGCCAGGGTCACTGCAAGCCCTGTGCTGTCCCAGGACCAACCCCTTCCGTCGGGCTCCTCACTCACCCAGTGCTCTCCCCCAGGGTGCAGATGCACAGAGGCCCCCTTACCGCAGGGCTGCGCTCCTTCCCAGCTGCCAGGGCCCAGGCCTGAGGGCTTCGGCCCTTCTCGTCATGGAGTCTCAAGTCACCTCCCGCATCCAGCAGCTTGCTGAGGATCCACTGACTGCCTGAAAACGCTGCTGCATGGACGGGGGTGCTCCCATCAAAGCAGCGGCTGTGGGATAACAACGAGTGTCAATGGCAATGCTCCCCCCTTCCACCAAGGGGGAAGTCAGTGGGCAACACAGGGCTCCCTTTCCTCAGAGGGTAGCCTTTAGTGACGAGGATTATAATAATACCATCTGTCAGACTCCTGGTCTGTGCCCTTCTCCATCCTTACCTCAATCCTTCAAGTAGCATCACTTCCCAATTTAGGGATAAGGAAACAGAAGGGCAAAACAGATTCATACTCAGGTACGAGTCTAACTCCATGTCCAGGTTCTTTCCCCACCATCCCTGACACTGGCCACATTGAGATGATTTCTTCATGCCTCAGTGTCCTGGGGTCAGCTTGTCAAGCACAGTCTAACCAGGGACCTCTCTCTCCTGTAAGAATGTCTCTGTCCCCCAAATCCTATAGGAGAGGCCCACACAACCCTGGCCTGATCAAATAACCTGATCAAGGATCTAGAAGTCTGAAACATTTAACAGAGGCACGAAGGGACTGCCTTTATCATGTCCAGATACAGTGAGGCTGTGGTATAGATCCATAGTTTCCAAACCTGGCTGCACAATCACCTGGGAAGATTTCTCTCTTTAATTGAAAGAGAAATAAATACAAATAGGAGGAGAAGGAAGTACGTGTACGTGTATGTATGTGTGCATATGTATGTGTGTATAACCTTTTTTACATGAATAACAATATGCTATACAAGCTGTTCTGCATCTAATTTTTTTCATTTAACAATTAACAAGTTTTTTTACCCCTAGGCAAGTAATCTTATAATCAAAAAGAAAAGAAAATCTTCCAACATCAATAAGTTTTTTTTTTCAAGTAAACACATTAAACATGGCCTTCTTATGTAAGATGGGAAATTATTTTATGACTTTTATGATTGTTCATATTCTGGCATTCCTGTGAAAATCCGCTGGAATCATGTAAGCTCTCAGAACCCCAGTTTCTGGTCTATTAAATGAGAACTGTAAAAATCGCTGCCCTCCCCTACCTGTCAAGGAGGTGTTAGAAGGATCAAGTGAGTTAGTGCCTAGAAAGGCCCCATGAAAAGCAAAAGTGATGCACAAAGAGAAGAGACGCACATGGGTAGCTGATTCATTACTTTCCATATTCAAATTTGGACCAGCTATTAAACTCAGATTCTTTAAAACCACAACTACAAGAACCAGGCAAATGTCATCCCTTCTGAAACTATAATGTTTGAACTATAAAAGTTCTGACATTTATTGACTTTTTGACTCTCCCAGACAACTTCCTGTCCTCGTGAATTTGCTCCTGTGGTTGATCAGAAACAAATTTGTGTTATTTTTTTCCATTATACTTTGTATGTTATTCCCAATGACCGGCTGATGCTTTTAACCAGAAGTGGTTGTGCAATGGTGTTGACTAAACACCCACCCCCTGCAAAAAAGTCATCCTTTCTGACAAAGTGATGCCAAATATATAACCCGGTGAAGAACTTGCTTGTGGGGCATATTAAACTGCTTAAGTGAATGAAGTACATATTACAATTATAACCCAGGGATGGAAATAGGCAAACAGCGCTGTCAATAACTAATTTCACTTACTCATTTCATAGGACTCAGTAAAACCGCTTAGAAAATTTTTATCAGCAGTTAAAATTATGTTTCAAAGACTAACATTTCACACAAATATTCCAAAATTTTGGACTATTTCATTGATATAAATTAGCAGACTTTAAAAAATATATATGTTGTCAAAATTTGTTTCCTGATATGCCAATGGATCTATCTTAAGAGCATGCTCATTATTTTCCAGATATCGATGTTATTGTACTTACTGATTTGGGTCTGATCCATAATCCACCAGAACATCAACTAATTTCCTAAGACCCAGTAACGCAGCAATGAAAAGTGCTGTCTGGCCCCGGGAGTTAACTGCATCAACATAAATCCCTGCAAAGCAAATACTAGAGTCAATACAAATTATCAGAAATCTTTCTAATAATGGAACTAGAACAATTTACATTAGGCAAAATTTTTTAAAATTTATACTGAACTTTAATGATTCTAATATTTCAAACTTGTTCTTAAATGAGAACGTTTGCACCACTCAAGAACAACCATAAAAAAAAAACCAAACCTGTTACCATCAAGTTGTATCCAACTCAGAACAACCCTAAAGAACAAAGTAGAACTGCCCCCATAGAGATTTGAACTGTTGAGTTTTTGGTTAGCAACCCAGCTCTTAACCAATGAGCCACCAAAGCTCCTTCCCGTAAACTAACAAACTCTCCCAAAAAACTTCAAAAAATAGAACACAAAACGTTTTGTTTAATTTAGGAGTACTACCATAAAGCAAACCCTAGCAAAATACAGATGAGTCATCTAACAAAGACTGTTGAACTCTTCCCACTTTTATAATACACCCAAATTTACCATAAACTATAATTACCTATATTAGAAAAATTTTTAAACAAAAGAACCCATAGAACCTAAAAATACACATACGACCGACACCCATCTAAAAGTTCATCCACATACTATTCTCCATAATTTAAACACAAAAACCACTCAGACTGCATTTTCTTCCTCTAACTTTCCCCAACTGGAAAAGTAGAACGATCATCAATAGCAAACGGCAATTGCAGAAAGCAACACCAAAAGCTAATTTCACGCTCAGAAGAAAACACTGTAACTCCTCCTCGTGGTTTTCGGTGCTCTACACAATCAGAGAAACTTCTCTAGTAACACACTATAAAAATGATCCCTGAAAGTATAGTCCTAAATAAATAAATACTGCCTCTCCGAAGTGAGAGAAAGCCACACATATTTTGTTGATGGTGAGTTTTTTTAATGGCACTACTCTTCCCAGATGTATACCTATGTGTTCTCTAAAGTGATTATTTTAAGTACAAAGTTCGAAAAGCATCTTACATAGTCTTAAGTTTCCACAGACATTTCAAAATGTTATTTTAATTAACATACGGCTGGTGAACGCCCAATCACACGCTGCTTACTTCCAACCCCGCCCGTACGCATTCAAATCGCGTCAGGTTTACGGAAATGCTGACGACAACGCAGCCCGCCGCAGTGTGAGGAACCGTCGCAGGCAGTCCCCTGTTTGGACTCACGGTGGAAGCTGACGGGTCTTTCTCTAGAAAAACTAAAGCGAGGATGAGGAAAGCGACAATCCGAAGCCGGAAACTCATATTTGCATAGCGCTCTAGGTTTCACTACAAGGTTTAACCACCATAAGCACGAAACTTCTGTACATAGTTTACAGGGACTTGCATGGTCTGCACCCTGCCGCCCCCTAAACCCCGCACTCGCCCCCGCCGCCTCTTCAGCCTCATTTTGCACCACAATCCCCCTCGCTTCAGCCACACTGACCTTGCAGTTCCTCACGCTCGCCACAAGGGCGTTGCATAAACTGTTCCCTCTGCCAGGAATGTTCCCCTCACCCCCTTCGCCAACATTAACTTCAGTTCAACTGTCCAAGCGTCACTGTCTCAGGTGTTTAAAAAAAAAAAAAGAATCATTAAGCCAATAATAGAAATTGAAGTTTATTGAATATACGATTTGCAAATTGGGATAACATTTCAACTAGAGTGTCAAAGATGTTCTGAAGATGAGAACTTTTAAATCTTATTGGCATTGCCATAGAAAAAACGGTAGGAACAGAACTGATAAACTTGTGGTCAGGAAGGATTTTCATATAGCACTGTCTTGAAGAACAAGTAAAATAATTACTGATTTATCCTCAACGTAACTCCCAGTCTGATCTTTGGAGTCTGTTTCCTGAAACTGACTGAATTCTTCAACAGAGCACAATGCCCAAAGCAAAAAGATCCTATTAGTTTATCTAGACCATTGTTTGACTCAAAAGTGACTTTTACGAACCAGTTCTTTCAAGGTTCAAAAGGACACATGAGGGCAATGGCCTGTGTGGATTACTCCAACTTCCATGTAAGCCAGAAATCTGGATTCCAGGAGAATTTAAATGATTCTGTCACAGGGACCCTTTCCTGACCTCCTTAACAGACCAAACCTCTTCTGTGTGACTATTTGATTAACGCCTGCCCTCTGCATGAGACTATAAATTCCAGAAGACCAGGGACTATAAGTGGTTTTGCACACCACAAGATCCAAGCACCTAGCACTGAATGAAATGAATGGAAGCAAAGGTGTCCAGTGCACAGAACTGTGCTAGATAGGTGTCGTCAACATTGCAATGGCTGTTTTGAAACCATGGGTATAAATGAGTCACCAAAGATATATCAAACAGCCTAGAGTTGAGGATGGAGCCCAGACGCTCACTAACATCTTAAGGGGCAAACTGAGGGGGGCGGGGGGAAGCCAAGGAGTAGAGAAGGAACCAGCAGAGGTTAAGGGGAAAACCTGGAACAAATGGGTCACAGTGACAAGGGGGGTAAAGGTTTAAAAAAAGTAGCATCAGTCAACAGCATCAAAATCAGAGAAATCTAGTGAGAAACACTAATGTTCTTGGTGAGAGCAGTGCTAGTGGGGTTACATTTCTTACCGCTCAGGGACTGATTGTTATGTTAGAAGTATTTGTGGCATGTCTGTCTCCCGGAACTGCCAAATTTATTTCCCTATTTCAGTGCCTAACACAGTACCTAGTACACTCATCTTCTATTATTATCTTACCTTATACCAAAAAAGATAAATGGGGCTTCCTGGCATATAATAGGAACTCATTCACTGGTGGATAAAGGAAATAAAAAAATAAAAGTAAGTATTAACACGGCTGTTACGGATTGAATTGTGCCCCCCAAAAATATGTGTTGTAAATCCTAACCCCTATACCTGTGGTTATAATCCCATTTGGGAACGCGTTTTCTTTGTTATGTTAAAGAGGCAGTATCAGTATAGGGTGCGTGAATCTTAAATCAGTCTCTTTTGAGATATAACAGCAGCTTAAGCAAGCAAGCACAAAGCGGGGGTGGTAGATGCCATGCCACGTGAAGATCAGTAAGGAACCAAGGAACAGAAGGTGAAGAGAGGTAAGTCCTTCTTTTTCCCAGAACCCACAAAAAAACAAAAAAAAACACAAAACCCACTGTCATTGAGTGGATTCTGACTCATAGCAACCCTATAGGACAGCGTAGAACTTACCCCATAAGGTTTCCAAGGAGTGGCTAGTGGATTTGAACTGCTGACCTTTTTGGTTAGCAGATGAGCTCTTAACCACTACAGCACAAGAACCAACAGAGAGAGGGAAAGCCTTTCCCTAGAGCCGGCACCCTGAATTCGGACTTCTGGCCTCCTAAACTGTGAGAAAATACATTTGTGTTTGTTAAAGCCACTCGCTCGTGGTATTTCAGTTCTAGTAGTACTGGATAACTGAGACAATGGCCTATACCACCCTACCACCTGCCTAAATTTTGCTACCATGATGTAAATTTTACTTTTCTAGCTATTGATAACGAAAACCTGCCTATCACAGATATCAGGTATAGGAAGTACTGAGTGACTACTGCTTTCTTACTCATACAGAAATCTTGTTCTCTAAAATCACAGACTGTCTTAAACTTTGCTATTTGAAATTATATCAGTAAACATTTATTCATGTTAAATCACATATGTGTAAAAAGCATTAGGAAATAATGAGAATGGACTACATAAATAAATAAAATTGGTTCTCTTCCTTGCTCACAAAATTCTCTTCCAAAGGACATCTAACTTTGCTGCACTTTTAAAAACTAAATATAGTAAAAGGGACTACAAAGTGTATGAAAACCTGGAATGCTTCAGCCACACCAAGATGCCGCCAACATTTTCAGCTGCTCTTCTCCAGCACCCATAATAGAAAACGTGACTTTGAGAATGTTAATCAAGTGCCCCAAAGTTCCATACCCTGGACCAAGGCCTTCATCTGCCTCTGTGTTCCTGGAGAATACTTTAAACCTCCTGATTCTTAATCAATAACCAAAAATCAAACCCACTGCTGTCCGGTCAATTCAAACTCATGGTGACACCATGTGTTACAAAGCAGAACTGCTCCATCGGGTTTTCTGGGTAGTAATCTTTATAGTCCCTAGGTGGTGCAAATGGTTAAGTGCTTGACTACTAGCAGAGAGGTTGGTGGTTTGAACCCACCCAGAGGCAGCTCAGAAGAAAGGCCTGGCAATCTGCTTCCAAAAGGTCAGAACCTTGAAAATCTTATGCAACAGTTCTACTATGACACACATGAGGTTGCCATGAGCCAGAATCCACTCAATGGCAACCAACAACAAAAACAATCTTTACATAAGCAGATCACCAGGGCCGGTCTTCCTTGGTGCTGCTGGGTAGGTTTGAACTGCCAACCTTTAGGTTAGCAGCTAATTGTAAGCTGTTCGTGCTACCCAAGGAAACCCTGTGATGTGGGGATATATGCCATTTAAACATGGCTGCACTATTGACAACTGCAGCCCCCACAGGCCTCTATGCTGTATACGACATGTTGGAGACTTGTCAGCGATGAGAAAGAGATTAGGCACGACTTGTTTTCCCAAACCTATTGTCCTGTTACTGATTGGCTTGTTTACCTGAATTCCTTCTCCCTTGCCGGACACTTACTGTTACTCACCCAAAGCCCATTGTTCTGTTATTTGCTTCACTGCTTGCTGTATTGACTATAAAATAAACTCCTGGGACTGAAGCTGGGGTTCGACTCCTCAGAGTGACCCTCCTGGCCCCACTTCTCTGTAAGAGTTGTGGCATTGGTTATTGTCTCCGCCGCCCCAACAACCGTCGCCACTGCGACGGTGCCCCGTGTGAGGGGCTGCGACACTGGTGGCACAGTGGTTAAGAGCTACAGCTGCTAACCAAAAGACTGGCAGTTTGAATCCGCCAGGCGCTCCCTGGAAACCCTATGGGGCAGTTCTACTCTGTCCTATAGGTTTGACTATGAGTTGGAATCAACCTGACGGCAATGGGGTTTTTTTGTGCCACCGAGAGACCTTTCTTAAACGGTGGAGAAAGTAAAAATCTGTCTGACCAGTCATCAAGCTAGGATAGTAAGATAAAGCCAACTTGGTGTTAATAGGAAACATTTCTCCCAAGGACACACTACGGCCGTAAAGTGTCATAACTACCCTTAAATCACAGACTATCACGAACTTTGCTGTTTGAAATTGTATGAGTAAGAATTTAACATCCCATTCTTGCCTGGAGGACTTAACCCATTTTGACACTGAGAAGCAGTCTCAATTTCCAGCTCAGGTGCACAGCTTCAAATAAGGGTCTTCTGGACACATTTCCACATCTGTCTTAATGCTTGTTGTTTGCAAGGAAACAGGACCATGGGTGCACTTCACAGTCCAAATCTGATGTTGACTGCTTTACACACAGCCCTGCTTTGCTTTCAGTGGATAAAAACACTGTTTCAGGTAAGTTTCACCCAGACTCCATCCTTTTCCAGAATCCTACTTTTCCTCTGCTTGGTGAGATGGTCTCTCAGTTCCTCTGGTCTCTCTCATTGCAATGAATTAATAAACCCTACTGTATTGCATTATAAGTTTGTTCCTGGTGGTCAGAGACCACTGGACTAGGATATCATGAACCATCTCTTGATATCATAAATTTACTTTTTAACACCTAAAGCTACTTTCTCCTTACTGGCTGCCAGCCCCTTCAAACCCTCCTCCATTCCTAAGATACGTGCTGTGATGGTAACAGTAACAGCCCTGGATCTGGCACTGTTATGTGGTATTACGTAATGTTTTCATCCCCTAAATCCTGTGCAAGGTGGCAAGGAAGTGTTACATCTTACATTTAA